ATTGTAAATACTCATGAAAGATTGTAAAAAGCAATATCTTTATTTACAGCAAGGGAAAGTACATAGGCATAAAGGGAGAAAACAAGAGAAGCAGATCATTGATCCTCATCCCCAGTCTAGTTGTCGGCTGCCTGTTTAGGTACGGGCTCCTCTGGAATGAACTCAGGATGTTCCTCTTCCAGGTCAGGTCCCCGAGCTGCTTCCTCAGCTTCGGCCTACACCATGGAAGCAAGTTCATTCTGGTACTCGTCAGGGAGGTCGGACAAATCCATCTCAGGATTCCTCAACAGAATGGCAAAAATGGACTGAATCGTCTATTCTACAGCCATATTCTCAATCTCCGCCTCTTGCTGCTGAATCTCCGCAGTTAGCGAAGTGACGCGACCTCAAGTAAAGTGGAGCTCGGCCTCAAGCGCTGATCGCTGCTTCTCAGTAATCTCCCACAACTCGCCCCTTTCCCTCTTTGCTTGCAAGGCCCGCTCAGAGGTCGTTTGCAGCGCCTGGTCTTTCTCACCAGCCTCTTTGGTGAGTCTGGCCACGGTCCTCTGGAGGTCCTTCACCTCTTCATTGCGCTTCTCCAACTCGGACTTCTGAAAGTCCATCGCGCGAAATGCAGCATCCATTTCAGACAAATGCTGCTCCGCCTAAACGATGGATGAGTCTCTGTCTGCTTATGCAGCCTCTAACTCCGGCTTGAGCCGCGCATTCTCTTCCCTCATCTCCACCAATCCTTCAGCAGCCCCTAGCTAGACCTTCTGCAAGGACAGGTGCATGGAGAGCAGGGCCTGCATAATGAAGAGAATAAAGTTAGTCCCTTGTATTACAAAAGCAAATGTCCTCACCGAATGCAACTCGTTTACTTGGCTCAGGTGGTGGAAGGACGTGGTCATCAGGTTCATGGTGCCGAAGGCCACGAACTGCTCGAAAGCCTCCGCAAGCCCACATTCGAGCAAAACAAAGACTACCGGCTACAGATAGTCTGGTAGCTAACCCATTGACTCCAATACGGGGGTGTCTGTGCCCGTAGCAAGTAGAGTCCCCTTTGCCGGCTCCTTTCTCGACGTCCTCCAGGGGGCTGCGATCATCTGTTGTCTTGCCTGCTTACCCTCGGGAGCGATGGAGATACCAGTCGCGCCCCTAGCTGGCCCTCTTAAGGGGAATGCTTGGTAAGGCTGCAGCCTTTTGGGCTAGATACCCAAGCCCTCCAGTTCAGACTCTAACTCCTCAGTCCGAATTTGCCTCCTCTTTTTAGGCCTCTAGGCCATGGTTTTCTGCTTCGGGCGAGCAACCGAAGGCTGGGGAGCACCTACAGGTCGAGCCAGATCGGCTGTTGATGTACCTCCGTCGGAGGGACCGTTGAGAGCTGCTCTAGCTGGTTCGATGGCACCCCTTCAAGGGAAGGCAAATTGTTGTGGTCGCGGTGAGTTGGGCACCCTGAGAGGCATGGTCACTGTACGTGAACATCGTTAGTAAAATAGTTCGTTGCACGCGAAGTCAAAAAGGCTAAGGTCAAGGGGCTTACTCGGTGTGGTCTCTAGGGTCGCTTCTGAGTTGAAGAAACCGTACTTCCGCAAATTCGCGGTTGTCACAAGCAATCTTGCGTCGCAACTCTCTTCAGGCAGAAAGCCGAAGGTAGCGATCCTATCTGGATCCTCGAGGAGCTCTAACCTGGTCGTCTTGTTAGTTGCGAAGAAACAAAGAGTTTGTTAGCAAAGAACGAAAGAAAATTCGTAAACTCAACAAAGGAGGACCTACTTGGCTCCTGAAAATGGCAAATGCCATTGTGACGAAAGAAAAAGAACTTCGTCTCGTATGGTCCTACATTGCTCGGGTAACTGTGTATCCCCGCTTCAATGGTAGTTCGCCTGGAAAGGTAGTAGGAATCCTTGTCCTTACTCTTTTTCAGGATATATGAGCAACCGAGCTCTAGCACGGTTAGCTCACTCAATCCGTTTTCACGACACGTGATGTACATGGCCACGGTAATCATTTACGCGTTCGGTGTGAGCTGCAAGGGTGTGACCCCGAAATGGTCGAGGACCGACCTGACAAAGAGGTGGAAAGGGATCAACCCCCCACCCTTGAAAATGTCCTCGGAGATCGCGGCCAACCCTCGTGATAAATTCCAAGCTGTGTGTGTTCTGTCTTGGAAGACCTCCACACAAATAGCGTATTAGTCTACTACCCTTTGAAGCTCCTCGTCTATAAGTATCGACAGGATCTCTCGAGGGGGACCTGCAGGAGCATCCTGCATAAGCGAGCTGGTCCCTTCCTTAGCTCTAGTCGTTGGGGGGTTCATTCTACTGTGGTCTGCAAAAGCGACATGCAGGGAATCACTTAGCCTTCGTACACAGTTTCGTACGATGATGTGGAGGAAAAAGTAAATACTTCCTCCCTTAAACCCTAGAAAAACCCTAATAGAATACTTCTAGAGCCACCATCAATGGCTCAATCCCAAAGAGAATATTTCATCTCTGATCAACTTCCGACAGATTGTCATCGCTTGGCAACTATTGAAAACAAAAAAAATAATAATAATAGGTGGCAGAAGGATCATCCTTACCTCTTGAAATGAGAAGATTAGTCCTCTTGCTCTGGATATCAAGCATGCACCAATCTGATAGGCAAAGGACCAAGGCTCACGAAAATCTCTTACTCTTTCTGAGAACATGAATATTGTGGCATTGCCTGAAGTGAACTTGGGGTTTTATGGTGGAGGAAATGGCGTTTTGGTTTCTCGAAATCAAATGACGTTTGGGCGAAAAACACATCTCACCGTTGATCGCGACCCCGTGTCACAGATCAGCGAAGAAGAGTGACCGTCACGCTTTGAGAAACCAGATCGTCGTCCTCTTCTGTTGAAAACGCTCAAGCGACAGCACGTTTTCCCTTCTCCACATTAAATGCACTCACATTCGCATTTAATGCACTAATGGAGAATGTCGTTTTAGCATGGCCCGCATTTAATGCGCATGGCTAGCACTTATTGCGCACAGGACACATCTGTCATAACAAAGGATACTTCATTAAATGTATCTGCTACAAAAATGCAACGGATAACATCTGAAGAGGTTGTTATGTGCAACATTCTTCAGCCCATGTCTCATCGCGAAGCGACGTGACTCTTCGACTTGGATGAGCATCGAACGCAAAGCAACACGATCTCTTGCCCTACGCAAAAAATTTCGCAAAGTGCAATCAGGTCGTGAACCTCGGACAAAGATCAAGGTCGTTGTTGTGGCAGTGGATATGGCCTAATTCAGGTTGCTAACCCTTAAAGTAAAGGCCATTGCAGGTCACCTGCATGAAAATGTTTCTTCGACCTCTCTGCATTCAGGTCGATCAACCAATGTTCAAACGCATCAAATCAAGGCATGACATGTAGTTTCCAAGGTTCAATTTTTAAACCTTAAAAATTAGGGGACTACTGTTATGCCTGGAAAAGTAGGGCTAACGCAAGACCCTGTCAGCGCCAATGTTCAGAGCTTAAGTAAGTCCATGTGTCATTCAGGTGCAGCCACGTCGTGCACTGATGCAAGAGGCGTGCTCCTGCCAGTGCAGTAGGTGCGCGTCAGGCTAACGAAAGGCTGGAGGTGATCCACGAATCCAACCCCTGCAAAACTCGAGTGAATTACTCAAGCAGGTGACTAACGGGGTGCAAGGAAGGATTTGCACGGCAATCTGACCCATTCACAGATTTAGTAATCATTACGTGATTTCATCCCACTATAAATAGATGACTCATCTCCCGTTTGTGGGATTAGCTAATCTTTCTCTATAATAGTTTATTTATTTTCTCTTTGTAATCACTTGTAAGTCAGCTCGCTGAACGCGACCTGACCTCAGTATATTAATGCAATATCAGTGGACATAGAAGTCGCTTGTTAAAGCATCCGAACCACTTTAAACATCGTTCTACATCTTTTAACCATTATCATACTCTCAATCACATGTGTTCTCTGAGTCAGCTTAGCATTTCACACTTGCGTTTAGTTGGTGTCAAAATCATGCATCAACAAGAAATTTTAGGAATTAACATATACACACTACAAGAAAAAGATTTCATTAATTTCCTACTAAGAATTTCCTTGGATCTTATAGTGCAAATGCGAGCATGTTTGATTGTACATTAAAATTGTTTATAATATTTTTAATAGAGTAGTAATACTCTTCCCAAATGAAATCTCAAGTTTTATATTCCAAATGATGTGTCATCTCATGTGGCATTGACATATCATTTAACACTTCAACTCCTCATTTATACATCAAAGCCATATAATATAAGGGAACACATTACTTGGAATGAGAAATTTGAGGTATCACTTGGGAAGAGTAGTATTATTGTTTCAAATAAGCTCTTGCACGGCTTATAGAAAAACTCAAAATTTGAGCTTCTTCTATAAGTTCTTTTTTAGCTTATTTAAAATATTGAAATTTCAAAAATATCATTGTTTTAGTTTATAAATTTGACTCAATATATTCTTGTATATTAAAACTTTTTTTAGTAAATTAACATTCGAAAGCTCTTTTACATTTTCCTAACCAAATGACTAATACATTTTTCATAAAAGTTCTGATATACTCTTCTTTTATAATTCGAATAAGTCATACTCCATGAGTTATGAAATAAGAAAATTTTAAAGCACAAAAGAACAAGTATAATTCAAATTTTTTTCAAATATCTTTTTCAAAACATTGAATTGTCTACATGTCATTCCACCTAAAAGCATAAACTAGTAAATGAGGACTCAACATTAAATTAGTTCAATAAGCTCTCTCAAATAAAACTTGGATTTATTTCATTTTTCTTTATCCAATTGAATGCTGAGATTCGAACTTTACTGGATGTAAGATTTTGAACTTTATACCTTTTTTTCTAATACCATGTTAAATTCTCATACCATCCTATTAGTCCAATAATAACTACATAGTTTTCTTATTAACTTTATGCATCAACTAAATTTACACTATGTATAAGTTATCATTGTAATTCTCTTAAACTATGGACGCCTCAAACTAGATGTAGAGTATTCATCAACCCATGGTTCATGATCCAATGGAAAAATTGCACTAGAACTAGAACTAGTGACTTGATCATCATCTCCAGGCTGATTTATAATAACAATCTCCAGACTTTCCGACACCTTCGACCTGGAGCTTTTTGACGATAAATCTGCTGCTTGTTGGGTCGTCTTCTTCGTCTCTTTGCTTTTTCCCCACATCGCGGCATACAAGCCTATTATTATGAACACCGATCCTATAACGCTGTCATCAGAAGAAGAACATCCAATTACATATTTTACATGTAGACCCTTCAATATTTTGCAAATAATATAAAGAAGTTTATTATTAAATTAACCTTCCCATTTGCAGTTTCTCGTCCAGGATCAAAGAGCCAACCAGAGCCACAAACACAAGTGCAAGTGGGTTGAAACTTGAAACAAACAATGGTCCTTTTATTCGTAAACACCAGGCCATTACTGCGAACATTAATCCAGTAGCCACAGCTCCCTTGAGACACAAAAAAATTGATAGAATTTATATATCAATACCAGAATTAATCATATCAGACAAGCCAATTAATTGAATCTTCATTTGGATCAATTTACCGTGTAGACAGCAGCAACAAGCCTGATGTTCCAACCGAGTTTCCATTTGCTGAAATCTCTCTCAGTGAAAAGGGCATAGATTGTTGCCTGAATTGATGCTGTGAAGCACGTCAATGCAGTGCCAGAGTATTTGCAAGGGTATCTTGCAACCATCTTGGTCTGCAACACACACAAATATTGTCGGGATGTAACAATCCTAATTGATTTCACATCGCAAAAAAATGGGTTTAACATATAGGTCAATAACAACGTGGGCACCCTTCCTTTGCAAGTTGGTTTTAAGGGTGATTTCTACCCATTTGTGACTATTACAATGGGTACTAGAGCAGGTACTACGCTGGGAGTCCCTCGTTGTTGTTAGGTAGGCAAGCTGGGTTTACCCTCATTGCGGATGGGCAGATGGGGCAATCTAGAGGTATAAAGTCCTCCCATCAGGGAAGATGGGCAGGTAGGCAACCTGGGGTAACCGCTAACCGGATGGAAAGATGGGGCGACCTAGAGGGATAAAGTCCTCCCAGCTGGAAAGACGGTCACCCTCTCCTTACAAACCGATTATAGGGTTTGATTTCTACCCACTTGTGATTGTTACACAGGAACTGAGGGAACCGACATACATCATCTGTATGTCCATCATCAACAATAAAATAGAAAAAATAAATATACGAAATTTACCTGAATTATGTACCAAACTGCAATGGATAAACAACCAGCTACGGCCAATAATGAGCCGAGAATTTGATTATTGACGCTATTATGTGAAGGTTGTATGTGATGTGTATTGTTTTGAATGATTTTGATGTGGGTTGACCATATTTTAATTTCACTTCCTTTGTAAAAAATGAGAACCATCCCTCCAGATAAGCTCACTAGAGTTCCCACCACCTTGGCAATTCCAGACATTTTTCTGATTTCTAAACTCTCCAACCTGAAAAAGAATAACGAAAATCATAAGAATTACAAGAAATCAAGAATATGAGTTAAAAGATTAAATATGTTTCGAGAGAGGTTTAAAAGAATAACCTGAACAAGACAGTCAATATGAATGTGAGAGCAGGAATGAGGTTAACCATGGCAGTAGCAAATGTTGCAGATGTTAAGGTAATGCTTTCGATCATTAAATTCTGAGAGAGAGAACACCTGCAATACAATTTGCATATTTAATATTAAAAAAATTAATTCTTCAAAGCATCAGCAAATCTTTTCTCAGTTTCATGAATATAATCAATCATTTCTCACCCAAATAGCCCACATAAAGTCCCCTGAAACACAATCGTCCATGTCAACTTCGGTCTGTTTGTCCTGTAAACACAAAGATCGGAGAACATGGATGAAATATTAGCCATTAAATCTCTACATTGTTCTTCGATAAATTAAACTTATTAAACTCATATCGTTTTAATGTTTCGTATGTTCATGTAATCTGGTTATAGTTAAGGTTCTTGTACATAACCCACGAAGGCTTAGTTGGATTGTCAGGTAGCCCCCCATGGGCACCTGCATAGCCAAAAGATCACTGTTTCCCACTTCCCACAAAGATTACAGGGTTCGGTGGGGGCTCTAGCTTTGAGCTAGGGTTTGCAACTTGCGAAGCAAGTGTAAGGGATTTTTAGATTCTTCAACATAAAAAAAAAAAGTTCTTGCACATAATTTAGAAATTTTCACTAAAACTTTTGGATAACCTATACAGAAATTTGTTATTCTATAATCTAAGTATACTCTGAATTTTCCATTAACAGGCATGCATGAAACCCTTCCTAGAGTATTTTCAAGATGTTAAACTCCTCTTCTCAGCCAAGCTGGAATTAAAAAAAAAAAGTAGATAAATTAGGACAAATCCTAAAGCATGAAAATTTTCTCCATTTTCGGGAGATACATATGATAATATATAGGAAAAAATTTCTATTAGTTAATTAAATTAAATTAACATATGTTGCATCCTCAAACAAAATTTATATATAATGTATTACCTTTCAAAGATCAAGGCAAATGGAACCACACAAGCTGTGGCAAATATAAATCTGTAAGCTATCAGTATTCTTACGCTCATCCCATCATTCACAGCCAGCTTGTAGAAAATATTTACCATTGCAACTATGAATTGAACTATCACCATTATTATCACGGGCTTCACCTTACCAACAAAGTTAACAAATTTGTTTGCCATGTTGGTCAGTTTTCTTCTTGGAAGAGAAGGCAAAATTACGTCTGAGTTATTTTGAGTCAAATCTTGAGCTTTTAAAGAAGATTTCAGAAATAGAATTAATCTGGCGAAAGATTATGCATATCCGAATTCCAACATATAGTCTGATTTACTGTCATATATATAATCAAGTATATAATTAATTTCTCTTGCACACGTCATCATTACCAATGTATACGTAAGAATTTATACATATATTAAGGATTTGTTTAAGGATAAAATTTACTCAAATAAACTCTACAGTTATTAGTTTAATAAATAATGAAGTTTATGAATAAAAAAATCTATGAACTTCGAAGATATAAATCATGATGAAATTCAAGAATTTGGAATTTGAAGAGTTTTGCATATTAATCATGTACAAGCATTAATACACATTAATGAAAAGTCGATTATTTATTTTGAAAAATGTGATACGATTTCAACCTATTTCTTATGTGTTTTAAGTCTCATTAATTTTATTCAAACGATTTTTATTTTTATTTTTACAAACCCATATGAATTTTACAAAAAAAGACGTCTAGAAAGAATCAGGATAGTAATATGGTATCTTATAATTAATGAAGAGGATTCTGAATAATCTAGTACTGCCCTGTGGACCAGATTTATGAAAGGAGAGATTATAATTAGTAATGTAAATAATAATATAATTAAGCTTGTTTGTTTTGCTTAATTTTATTTTCTAATTAAGCTGATCACCGACTGACCTGACTAAGAAATTTGTGAAGCTTTGACTGATACATGACACATGGGAAATTGAAGTTTAGGACATTTGTGATTTGAAACTAGGACACATATGTTGTTATACCATTGAACCACAATAATGGATAGTGCAAGATCATAATAGTAAATACAGAGGACTCTAGAAATTGATGCTTTTTTTGTAAATGGGGACAAGGGGAAAGTATCAATAAGGTGGTTGATTTTCATAGTATCATGGGTCCAAAATGGATGGGCAATTAGGAGACAAATGTAAGTAGGGATCAATTTATGAAGTAACGGTTTGGATAAAGCAAGGCAGATCAACCTTTCAAATTAGTGTACAGAATTAATCGTTTGCCTTTGCCACCCCTGAGGTTTCGTACAAAAACCTTTTTTCCCTTAAAATTTAAGAAACTAATATTGTAATCCATGGAAAAATATAATTTCGAGGAATATTATTGATAATTTTATCTTCGTAGGTTAAAGGATCTTTTCAGGCATGAATTTAATACAATTCAATGTTGTAGGAATTGTTGAGGTGGTAAACAAAATAATTACCTTTAAACTCTTTCTCACATCCATTGGATTGTATTGAATCCACGGCTGAAAATTTGTATTTTAATTTAAGTTAAAAGATCTTGTCCCATTAACAAGAACTAAATATATAAGAAATACCTTGCCAAAATTAAGGCAAACATATAAAAAAATAAATACAAGCAAATCAAAAAGATGAAATATGGATCAAAACAATACACTCTATTAAGGAAAATTCTATATTTTTTCCTACATCATAATGGAAATTTCTTCTTTTCTTTTCCTTCCATTTTTAGATTGTATGACTTTTGATGTGAAGCAATTTCTTACCATTATATTAATCCAATACGCGAAAGAGCTATAAAATTTCATACGATCTGTGCTTGTCAGTGATAATTTACTAGAAATCAACACAAAAAATGGTACATAAAAACAGTCTGTGATCTATATATAATTCTTACAATCCCATATATTATGTCTCACGAGGATTGAAATGAACTTCAGTTTAAAACAAATTTGAGATTTTTAACAAAAATATTAAAAACAAGTTCACCCACAAAAATAACCCAAAATATAAAAATTAAACCAGTGAACTACTTGGCTTCTGCAACCGCCTTGCCTGCAGCCTTAGTTTCCCTGCAGAATGAATAACAAATGATGGTTTTTTGTTTAGTGTCCACATTATGATCCCTCTATAACACTTTGACACTAAATATTTCCACAACTTCACTTAGTTTCTTCTGTTTTCTTCTCATCAGATGGCTTTTCATCTCCAGGTTTAATCTCAGACGATTTCGCCTCATCTTCGGGTTTAATCTTGGTCTCAGATAATTCTGTTTCCACAATTTTCTTCTCCGATGATTCCTTGGTTTCGGTCGCAGCAACTCCGGGTGTTTTCTCAGAATCTGGCTTCTCAGGAGCATCAACAAATTCTGCAGTAGGTGTATGCTCAACAGAAATCTCAGATTTTTCAACTTCAGGTTGCTTTGTTTCGGATTCCTCTTTAGCCTTTTCGGTCTCTTTTGAATCTTCTTTCGCTGCCTCTGAAGTAGCATTAACATCAACCGGTTTTACCTCCTGCCCTTCTTCAGTCTGCAAAGAAAGAAAATCAGAAAACCAAAATCCAAAACTATGGCCCCAATTTCATGTAAAATGTAGTACAGTTTTCACCCCCTTAATTAGTAATTCTAATTCGAGTTACTGTCAGAACGTATCTAATACTTATCCTATTCTGTTACATCAGCAAACCAATAATGAAATAAAATACAGATAAGAACCCAAAAACTAGTACCAATAATCTTTTGTGGATGTTTGGTATATTCACCTAGACCATCATTAATATGAGAGCACGCGCAATTCACGTGTTCTGATGTCACATATTTTTATTGGTTGATTTTATATATATATCTTTCATAAAGAAGATTTTTATTTTTCTTTTTTTGATATAATAATGAAAATCGTTTCTCTCTCTCACATGGGAGACAGGAAGACACAAGAAGCTCTAAAAGCCAGACAATACTAATGTCAAGCTCTCACAAGTTAACAGAAATAGCCATAAAAATGACTCTTTGAGAAACGAAAACAAACAAGAAGCAGAAACAAAACAATTTGTGGGTCTTGAACTCAGACCTCTTTGTTTGTCATCTACGGAAGATACAATGATTCAAGAGAGAGAGAACTAATTAATAATATTTGCAAACAAAGATTCTAAACCCTGTATACTTTGAGTGGTGCACATCAAATCAAAAACAAAGAGGGAGAGAGAAAGTAACCTTTGAGTGAGGTGAATAATTCAAAGAATCTTTTTAGCAAACAAACATGACGACAAAATACCATACTGGCAGAAAAAGACATGGCCCAGGTTCAATAAAGCTAAAAGATTTGTGTAAAATTATATTGAAAAAAAATTAAATTTTGACTGAAAATTTTATGATTTCTATACCTTTTTTTTTTTTTTTTTTTTTGAAACAAAATATAATGAATCAATGAAATGATTGTCCTAATTAAAAGAAATTTATCAACAATGATCTGGGTATCTTCTCAAATTATGAAACTATAGATCAAACATAAATATGCATTAAAGCAAAATTAGATCTAACAAAACCAAAAGAAAGTAATCAAAATTTTGTTTTCAAAATCATGAAAACAAAAAAAATGAAAAACAATTTATTTATGTTACCACCTTGAACAAGTTACTGAGAGATCGAGGTTTGGTTTCTTGATCATCACCCTTGCCATCTTCAACAATCTCCTTGACCTTAGTAATTTCATCACCATCACCATCTTTATTGTCAACAACCACCACCTCTTTGGCTTCTGCAGCCACCGTGACAGGTGCTGCTGCAGCCTCCTCCTTAGCGGGCTCCGGCACCGGTGCCGGCACCTCCCTATCCTGATCACCCTTCAACACCTTTGGCTTAGTTGCACAACCCCCCATAATTATTATACAAAATTCTTAATTTTTTTTTTTTTTCTCTCTTTCTCTCCCGAAAAATAAAGAAATTAAAAACACAAAAAAAAAAAAAAAAACAAAGACGTTGTTCTTGTTTATTATTGTGAAGAGAAAGATGAAAGAAAGAGAAAAGATATAGGAGATTTATAGGAAATAAAGAGTTAAAGGGTTGTTGTTTCCGACATTCGTTCTTTGTTAAGATGAAAATCTACGGAGAGAATAAGAGACAGATAGACAAAAAGAGTGACAACAGGAACAGATTGGATTATGGATTAAATTAAAAACCAAAGTGTTTTAATAAAATACTGTCATTATTATTATTATTTTGGACTGAAAATTCGGAGGATTTGAATGGTGCAGGTTGTTAATGTTTAGTTTACGGTTTAGTTTTGTCTGTTCATTTTTTTTTTTTTATATATATATATTTTTTTTTTACAGCATGGCAATGGGTATGTGTGAGTTGGCCAATCCTAAATGGAACCCACATTTTCTATATTAGTAAACCACATTCCTTAGAGGTGTCAAATCGATAATCGTAGAAATATGAATGATAAAGTATATGAGTAGTCAAGATTTTGCGAGATGTCGAATGAAGTGTCGACGATGAGGTTTTGAATGAGGTGTTTTGGAATGGTTTGTTTGTCCATGTTATATTTAATATTATTTATGAATTTATGAATTTAAAAGATTTATTTTAAAAAAGTTAATGTAAATATAAAATGATAAAACTTTTATTTTCCTAAAAGAATATACTTTTTTGAATTGTTTTATATTTTAGGGTTATTTTATCCCCCCTGAAGTTTTAAAATACATCAGCAAGACCCTTATTATTATTGGTATTATTGACACAGTATATTTTAGCCAATCAATTCTATTAATCTTAATCATTTATATGGTAATTCAAAATTTTAGTGTATTATTAGGGAATTTTATTTCCAAAAATAAAAAAAATTAACAATTAAAGAAAGGGGAGCTGCGAGAGCCTCTAATAAGGTAGCAAATCCCAAAATTTGATTCTAATTAATGGTTCCACTAATTTAAATATATTACATTCCATTTAAACTGTATTTCCTAAAACAAAAAGTTTTATAATTAATCTCCTATTAAAGAAAGGGGAACTGCGAGAGACTCAAGGCCTTCAATGGTGTCGTCGGGTCGGTGCCAGCCTATTATTATTATTAATCTCCTATTAAAGAAAGTTTTAAAGTTTTTTTTTTTTTTTTACTATTATTATTATTACTTATTTATTTAAATGCCGGCTAGAGCTGCAGAACTTTTCCCATAAATGGGAAATCGGCATATGCTTAATTTAGTAAATAATTTTAGAAGAAACTCAATTTTGCCCAACATCAATTCAATTGCAATAACATGATTTGCTCCTCAATTAATTTATTAAATTAATTATATGTACACTTGAATTTTATCATCTGAATTAACTGATAAAATGGGGTATGGTTTCTGAACTCTATTATGTATTGGAAATTTGGAATACTATTAATAAACCATTAGACATTAGTTAATTATAATTAATTTATGTGTGACGAGTAATTCCGACGTGTAATTAAACCTTTAAGGCAATCAAATATACCTTGACCCAAAAAAAAAAAAAAAAAATGATCATGGAGACATTATTGTCATAAAACTCAGTATTAAAATAAATGAAAGAAAAGTCTAGATTTTAAGAATAAAACATGGAAATAGAAGCTAATAAAGTCGGCCTTCTTTTAAGTGTTTTTGGTATCAAGAATGCTACTCACATGTTATAAGACAGAATAAATTTGGTAATAATATTTTGAAAGCTCAAATTTCCACATAGATTTGAAGCAAGAAATTAATGGAGAATCTTAGACGAAAATAGTTGCCTGATATAATATAATATTTGATTAATTTATAGTTGTAAAGTGGCTAATTAAAGTTAGTGCTGTCCTTTTATTTATGTCGTGTTCTCCATTACATTCTTTTCTTCATTTGTGCTCTCCACTCTTAAGCATATCCATTCAAACTAAAAATTAATATTCTTTTTTTTTTTTTAATTGAATTTTTGGGTTTCGAGTTGCAAATTCCAACGATTTTATTGAGATACACGAGTTTTAATTCTTGCAATACGTTCTATTTTTCTAATTTTTGGGTCAAATTGGAACTTGAACTCTCATAAGAATTCAAGAGTTATTTGTTTTACTTGTCCATACAAATATTTACAGAATTATTTTTTAACCATAAAAAATAATAAAATTTCAAGAACTCCTATCGACTTTTGTATGCTATAAAAAAAATAAAAACAAAATCTAGAGTATTACATTTCAAGTTTGGATTTTATTTATAATGCCCAGCCACTGTCAACATATTGTCTTCGGATTTGTTTCTTTTCCATCTCAATAATAATGGGAATCAATGATACTATTGATTTGTTTCTAATAATAAAGTCTCATAGATTTGAATAGAAATGAACACACTCTGAGAGGTAAGTAAGAAACAAATCCCAGATCAATATCTTGACATTTGGTTGAGATATTACATTTCCATCATATAATATACAATCGAATATTAATTCTTGTACACGAGAGTCAGCAAAATTTTAAATTTTTGCAAGAAAAAAGAATTATATGTATAAACTTTTTATCAATTTTTGCATGCAACAATTAGGTATCACTAATGAGAGTTTTAAGTTTGAATTTCGGATCCACATCTTTTGAATCGTAGGCTATTAAAATTGTAGGAACCATGTCGTGGCAAGCATGAAATAACAACAAAAATTTTCTTGCCATGGCATGGTCCTGTTACCAAAGATCACGATTTCGACTCAATTTAACCCATACAAGGTGATTGAGTCCGTCGATATCGACACGAAGGTGGGCTTGGGATCACCCTATTATTGACTGCTAGATCAATCGGAGGGCATAAGAGAGGTGGCGGATTAGAGAGATAATTTCTCTCCCTAGGGTTGGTGGCCAGGGTTTTGGGAAAGCTATTTTGCTCTTAATTTTGCAAAAATAACTTTATGAATATTATCTCTCTTAAGTTAAACCTAATGCCCATTTATATAGACAATCTCAAATAAGAGTTCAATAAAGATTTTAAATTTTTAATTCCTATTTGGGTTGGATTACAATCCTTATTTGAATTGGATTGTAATATGTGATATAAGGAATATAATATCTCTTAAAGATATTCTCCTAAATATGAATTTTAATTAAATAAATATTCATATTTATTTAATTCCTATATAAATACATATTTTAATTAAATAAATATTACTATTTATTTAATCCATATATATTTATCATATTTAATATATGGGTTTTAATAAATATTTAATTAAATTAAATATATATTCTCCAAATTAGTTAAAATTAATATGATTCCAATTTTACTAAAAATTCTCCCAATAAATTGGATAATAGCTTCAGTCCCTTAGCAAAATTACCAAAGTGCTCTTTTTGCCTACAATGATGAAAATGCCCCTAGACTCCCAAATTACCGAAATACCCTTTTTGACCTAAGGACAAGATTGTCCTTCTATTTTTTGTTTCTCACTTAACTACCTTATATATGTGTGACTCGAAGGCTTACCACTTTGCCGATAGTGTCCCACTAACTAATTAAGCATCAAGCAATTATTGTTTTGGTACACTAATCAAGATTGGCCTCTAGCAAGACATCATGATTATTCGGTAAGTAAAGAATCAGTGATTTAGGCTTACCTTGTCTTCAGTATGGTTATCATGCAATTCGATCTGTGTCATAATCTTTTATCTCATCAAGGTTTGAGGTACAGAAATAGTGTCTACCTCAAAAGCTACCTTGACATGTTCTATATTTGGTTCTTGAATCTGACGATTATTGGATTCAAGCACTAACTCGATTTCACCGTGGCCACAAATTTGAGATCGTAGTTCTTTAACCAAATATCTCGCCGAGATAAGATCTCTTGTAACTAGGAGCGATGAATCATTTGTTGATCCACCATGGTCATTGTGTACTTCTCGATGTAACCAATCACCACCGTTCTAGTAATCCTTAAAAGAGACGACTTTAGGCTAGTGTCAAATCACATCAATATTTACACACGGTGCTCTGGTGATCTCAAGTTGAAGGACCACATGCACCGTCATTCGTAAGAGGATGTATTCCATAGACACTGAGCTTACCATCTCGTGTGGAATCCTCTGATTGGTCAGTCCAGTGTACTTGCACAAACAAGCACTCATGCGTTGCACCAGGTTGATGCCCACAACCTTGACATGTGAGATTTGACACTACTTTTCGATAGGGTAGTTCAACGCGATAATAGTCTCTTCATATAATTTGTGTCCTTGGTCAGATTTATGCTATGACTACGGACGGTTTAAGAAGGGTCACCTTGTACTCATAAGGTTCTCATAATGAAGATTTATGACACTTAATTTTCTCATCATTGGTTCTAACCTTTCTAAGGACATATACTATTTTTTTTACGCGTAGTAAATAGATACTACAGTATATACTCATAAATAAGCGATATCTTTTATTCATTAATTTGAAATGAGTTTACAAGAGCTAAATTATTGGCTCTAGTGCACCTACTCTAACAAAAATAAACATGCTTTATCTTTTCTCAAAGATATGAGAATAATTCCAAGTCTTATGCTTCATAGTTTTAATTATTTATTTATGTTTACATGTTATAAACAATACTATGAAATTAATTACAAAAATAAAGCAACAAGTTAATCAATCGTTAGCATGGTTTCGTAGTTTTAAATAAGGTACATGAATTATTTGTATAATGAATCTTGACTCTCGAAACTCTAATTATAAAATTGAATCACACTTAAGCATAAGAATTATGCTTTGGCTAACCCTAATTAACACCTAATATTGAAGGAGAAATGAGCTATCCAATCAAGAAAAGCTAGCCCTTTTAATTAATTAAAGTGGTGGAATTTCCTTAATCAATAATCTTTTGTGTTCAACTTTTGGATAAGAACATTAATTACATGTAACCACTTGGTATGGGGTCAGATAGCAAGACCTTAAGTTATCTAAAGGTCTTGTGATAGAGTCCCACTGTAATACCTGCCTTATACTACTATATTCATGAAAACACTTACAATAAAATAAAGGTACATTAAGAAAAATAGTTGGACCCAAAAGTTTTCTTTCATTTAATATACATATTCTTTACATAAAGTTAGTATCATTTACAAAAGTTCTCAAAAGTATGGTGGACAGTGTTACTACTCTCCTTCGCCCGCTGACGTCCATCTGACCGTGTGCTCACCTGGAACCTGCAAAAGCATAGAAAACAACGGGATGAGCACAACTAATGCTCAGTAAATAAATCTTCTACCTGTCTATCCTCGTAACACATTCTCTTAATTCTTTCCTTATACTATTTTTTTCTCATCTCTATTCTCTTTTTGTTTCTATTTCTGTTTCTGTTTCTCATATGCTTTGCTATACACCCTCTGGTGTATGCCACGACCTCATCTTACTGGAGGCACGGCCGGGAACTCAACCTGCTCTTCGTGACTTTACTCTTTTTCTCTTTCTGTTCTTTCTATTCCTTTGTTTCTCATTCTTACGCATTGGAATGTCACGGCCTCATCTGACCGAAGGCACGGCTGGGCACTACCACTCTACGTGACTTCTACTCATTTCTCTACCGATCGGATTTGGTCATGCATGGATTCGGAACCCTTGGCCATGTGAGTGTACATTCTTTCTCTCTCTGAATGTCACGGCCCCATCTTACCGGAGGCACAGTTGGGGATCACAAAGCACCCACTCTCGTGACTCTACTCATCACTCACGGGTTCCCCATCGCACAACTTACTCTATTCTCTTCTTTAACTCTTAGAGTAGCTTGTGCACAAGGTCTCTACTCTTTCTCTAGCTATTCATCATAATGTAGCTTAACACCTAGAGTAATTCTCTACTCTTTCTCAACTTTTTCTTAAGTTCTTTCTCAATGCACAATTAATGCATATGGATGGTTCATACTCATTAATGCACTTAGGAAATGCCAATATGCAATGTTGCAATAATTAAGGTTCATAACTCATTCTCATGCTTCTCTTAGGCATTTCATCAAATAACTCATGTGCATCTAAAAACTCTTCTTTAACTACAACTCTATTTCCCCTTTTTAACCATCAAAAATTGGAAGTAAACTCCCTTCCATAGGCATAACCCCTACCATAGAAGAACACTCCCAAAATATATACTCAATCTCATCTAACTTCATCTTAACTCATCACACATCCACACTTCTTATAAAGGAAAAGTGTCCAACAAACTCAACAAGTAGACATATAACTCTACTCAATTTCTTAATAACATACATAAAACATGCATACATCATTTCTACTGAAACTCTATTCAAGAGAATTCTCAAATCTCAACTTGGGTTGGGATTTACTTATCTTGTGATGATATGATTCCACTAACACTTCCCTTTTCCTTTGGTAGAAGACTTTTCTCTACACCTTAAAACAATAACACATTAAGACCTCATCAAATTTATAGGTAAAATTCACATCTAGAATAAGAAATCTTACCTTAGGATGACTTAGATCAATTCTCTACCAAGATCTAACTAAAAAAACCCTTCAAAATCCTTGAAAGCTTGAAGGAGAAATTGAGAGGAAATGGAGAATGAAAGAGGCGGTGGAAGAAGATGAATGAATGGGTTTCTAAAGTTAAATCCTTATTATCTCATATTTTCTCCATTCTTTCCCATTTTACCCTTACTCTTTCTTGAGAATTCCGCTTTTGCCCTTTTAATTCTTTACAAATGCACCCTCATTTAAACTATTCTCCATGCAATTTTTTTGCATTTCACTCCCCACTTTTCCTGCTAATTAGGGGTAGAATGGTCATTGTGCCCCAAAGGAAGAATTTTCTAGAAACTTCATTAAACTTTTTGTTAGGCTCGTTGCCGCGGCGAAGATTATTTCTTCGCCTCGACGAAACTTCACAGAACCTACAGCGTGGGTTACAGGGCCTCATCGCCGCGGCAACGATTCTTCTTCACCCCGGCAAAGACAGTGACCCCAAAATTCCACCAAGTCTTTACAATTTCAGGGTAAACACTCAATCAAACCAAAGCATCCATTCAAACAAGGGCCAACCAAACCATATTAACAATATTCCAAGTCAAACAAGAGTTAAGTAAGAGACATTAGCTACACCCACCAAATGGCCACCTATCACATTTTGTGACTTACCTGACTCATTAAACTTATAAGGTGTTTAATGAACTCCAAAGATTAATTGAGGTGCGCGTAAACTGGTTCGGATACCCCAATCACCGACAAAAAAAAAAAAAAAAAAAAAAAAAAAAAAACATTAATCACATGTTAAAAACATTTAAAAAGAAAAACATATCAACTCATCACAGTCAATCCGAGCAATTTATTTAGGTCTTATGTAACTATAAATAAATGGGTTAAATAAAATTAAGTCAATTTTATTATTTTTTATTTTTTTTATTCGTGGTAGGAACTAAATTGTAATATAAATTTGGTCAAAACTGAGAAGGGTCAACTTGAGTAAACTTAGAAAAATGATAGGGTTATTTAAGTGAAATTTGTACAAGGTCAATGACTATTGATCTAGCATTTGTAATTAATTTTCCAAAGTCTTTTCTCCACTATAAAAGGGGTTTATCATTCAATATAAGACTTATTCTTGAATTCCACTTGTGTTTTCTCTCGTTTTCTCTTGATCTAAACATCGTTTTTTCCACAGGTGAAAACTCTGAAAAAATCATTAAAGATCTACAAAATTTTCAATTGCTTATGTTGAATTTCCTTAATGAATAGTGTTATACATCATAATTTTTATCCCAAATTTTACATATTGCTCATGCAAGCTATCAATTAAGATTTCGTAATGTTCAACTTGTTATTATCAAAAAAGAAGCAGAAAAGGAAAAAAAATAAAAAACCATTTAAATTTGTTATTGTAGAGTTATTTTTAGATGTGGATCTATTGGTTCCCCATTACTGAACCAAAGAAGCCCCAATTTTTAATAAATATTATAATGATAAATTTATCCCAAAATTAATTTTAATTTTCTATTCTTTTCAAATGCTTTTGACATCACACTGTTATCTCATAAACCCTAATTTATTATTATTATTATTGCAATTTAATTCATTCTTAGAACAAAAAGATATTTTAATGGATGAAGAAGATTTGTTATGGGATATATCAAGTTACAAACAATGTAAAATTATAAGCTTCTAATTACTTCACATATAATTTTATTGTTACTTTTTCCTTTAAAGCATTGGTAACTATTTTAATTATATATATATATATATTTGTTGTTTAACTGTATTATATTCTTAGGATTATTTGTAATAATTCTTTTTAGCTGTAATTTTTTCTGAACTATAAATTTAATTATCAAAAAAATTATTTTAAGAATAGTGATGGTGGGGTATAAAACATAACTGAAGAGAATGAAATGTTAAGCCTTTTAAAATATATAAAAAATAAAATAGAATGAAGGACATTTATGAGGTGTCATTAAAAAAAGGTTTTAGTTTTAAGAAATCAAGTAGTGGGGTCAATACCTATACTCTATTTTTTATTCAAAATTGTGACTTGTGGTCATGAAAACTTGTTAGAAGCTTGGGCCTGTTGGCCCACCAACTCATTATGATCATCATTAATAACATTATTGTAGACTTATTTAACTAATTGTAAATTTAGCTACTCCTTTTATTATTTGATTTTTTCTATAGGAAAATTCCCTTTTAAGGAAACTTCTAACAAGTATTATGAATCCTTCATAAAATATATAATAATAATAATAATAATAATTTAGGAGATTTACAATAAATTTGAGTATTTTAGAATCTATAAGATCATATTATATTTTAATCAAAAGAAAGAGGGATCAATCATACTTAATACTACGACATAAAACATTATGAATATTAGGCTAAGCTCACGCCCATTCTTAGTGTAAATACAACGTGTTTTATTGGCTTTTAAGAGTTTTATTATGTGTGAAATAATTGGAGATGTCAAATGGGTCTATTTATGTCAATATAATCATATTATATTGTCTTAGATATCATTTTTTTTTTTTTTTTTAATTTCACTTATATTTGTAGAATTCTAAGGCGCCTCTCGACTTATTTGTTACGTAACTATTTTTTATTTTTCAGTTTTACTTATTCTAATATTGATTTTAAAAAGTCAAACACAATTTATTTAAACCCTTATTGCCAATTGTCTTTCATACCCTCTGTTTTAAAACTCGGACCGATCCAATTGGTCGATCTATTGGTCAGATCGGTCCAACCGGGACTTGACAATCTCTCCGATCTAGTTCAAGTTCTAAGGGGGATTTGTTATATTTTAAACTTGTTGGGACTAATTTAATTTTTAGGGATGTTTTTGAAATATTTCAGAATGTTAGGAACTAATTAAAATTTTTTGGAAATTTTTGAAATAAACTGAAATTTGAGGGACCAATTTAATTTTTTAAAGGTATTTTTGTAATATATTAAAATTTAAGGGATTAATTTAAAAAATATTTTTGATGTTGACGTCATTGGTTCAACCGATTGAACCGATCAACTAGTGACCCCGTTACCTTACCGAATTTCACAATGGGTCAGGTTCTAAAACAATGTTCTTATCTAAAATCTTAATCGAGTACTAACCACAATCCTAATGTCATGCTACAGTCGTCTCGTACTATATATTGTCTATAATTTTTAAATTTGTGTTAAAAATGTGGATGAACCTTTACGCCCAATAAAAAGCCCAAAAGAAACCTTAAATCCAGCCCAAGTTCGGGTTCAAATTGTGGAATGGGCTTTTTAGCCCAATAAAAAGCCCATAAAACAACCACAAATCCAGCCCAAATCCTTTGCCTGATCTTACAGACCCTAGAACTTAACATCCCATGAAAGCAAAGAAGAAAACGGCAGAGCCAGCGAGAAAACCTCGGCCTTCTCTCACTCTAACGACCGCAAAACCGAAGACTTTACGTCCCTACTTGCGGTCAATCCCTAATTGGAGGCAAAAAGATTCTTTTTTCACCCACAAAAACATCTCTTTTATCTGCGCAACAATAGCCCATTTTTATTAACAAGAAATATTTTTTTTGTCTAGTTTTTAATTCATTGATTATGCAAATGCCCAGATGGAAAAATGTGTTGTTTTTGAAGAATTCATTCACAGCACCAGCTTTGTCAACCCAATGTTCTGCTTTTTTTCATTCGACACCTACTTCATGTGAAAAAGGGAAGAACAAATGGAATGCTTTTGCTGTGAGTATATTTACTTGGTGTTCTTGTTATGTACCTGTATTGATTTTTATGAAATAAAAAGATTGAATTTTGTGTAGAATAGCATTGGAAGATTTATGTTACGTTAGATTGAAGCTTAAGGGAGCTAAGAGAGTTGTGATTAATTTATCTTAGTAGGCTCTTATCATTCTAATGTGAATACATTGATAGTTATAATTAGTGATTGGTTTTTAACTGTGAAAATGTTTTCATTATCATTACTATTATTATTATTGTTATTACTATTATATATTCTTATATGTTCTTTCAACTTTGCTTATCTTGTATGAGAAAGTTTTGAAAGTTGAAATGTTTTTGCAGGATGAGAGTAGAGCTCAACAACCATCTAAGGTATATATGCTTATTTGTATCAGCTTATAGGATTTTTTTTTTTTTTTTTTTTTTTTTTTTTTTAAATGCTAAGTTTTATATTAATAGTTTATAAATATCAAATTGCAAGATTGAGCAACCTGAGTTATTTCGAGTAATGGCATTTATTTCTAGAACTTTATGCATATGCAGTCCTTATTTGATCTTTGGATTATTCATATACTAATTGTTTTCAAGTTTGGATAACCACAAAACCTTTGCTAAATTAACTGAATGTAAATATCATGGCGAACGTTGACTGCCTTTGGTTTGCACTTCTTTAAACTGCATATGTGTGCACCTAAGAATTTCAAATTCATATACTTATCTTATTAAGGGCCTAATATATATGATCTGTGGTTTTGATAATTTTTTGCTAGGAGTCTTGCTTTTCACTTCATCCTGTCTTTGCATCTTAATGCTGATATATGAGCCGAATTTGGTGTAGAATGGGCATTCTTGAATTTTTGTTAACAGAGTTAGGCCTACAAAAACGAATTGTTTCTATAAATAATTGAGATGAGAGACACTTTTTTCATGTAGATGGATGGTTGTTTAACTTTTTCTAAGCTCTGAGTCCATGACTCTACCGTGTCAGATAATTTCTTTTCTTGAGTAACCTCAGTAGTGCTTTGTAAGAAATTGCAATTTGGTATGTAGCAAATTTTTCTAGTGTTTTAATCTTCATGTATTCTTGTAATGAATTCTTTGCAGTAACCTCGGTAGTGCTTTGTAAGAAATTGCAATTTGGTATGTAGCAAATTTTTCTAGTGTTTTAATCTTCATGTATTCTTGTAATGAATTCTTTGCATGCTCCTGTTCCTCCATATCTCTCCCATTTAATTTTTACCTGACCCTGCAAGCTTTGAACACCAGACTTCTATAAGATATACAATACGTCAAAAGCGTGCCGATGCCAAGAAAGCTTTAAAAGATCTTCTTTTCACAAGTGAATCGACAAGAGTCTCATTTCAGGTAAATTTTTGTGCTACACCTACTTTGGTGATGCTCTATTGTTTGATTTAAACTTTGTGCTTAAGTAAAATTGGTTGGGGAATTTCTTTTATTCTAATGGTTTGGATTGCTATAAGATATCCAATTTCAGGCTTGTAATATGGATAGGGATTTCACAATCATATTGTAAACTTAAGGTCTATGAGAACCTACATTTCTTCCAATCTTGTATAACAATTTTCTGGTGGTTTACTTCTCTCTCAAATTTTCAACAAAGAAAAGCAAAAGATCTGCTGCATATTTAGCAAACTAAAAGCAGTTGTTTGGTGGGAAAGCTACTAGCTGAACCATATATATGATTCTCTCTATCTTTATTTATTTGGACTCGAAAGCAATAGAATATTATCAAACTTTCTCTATTTTTGGATTGTTTTGTTTTTCATAATTTGATGTAACATGTAACTTTTGGCATAAAAGTCAAATGAACTTTTTGGTTTGTTATAGCATTCTTATGGAGTGTGATTAGAGACCCCAAATTAGTTGATGACTTTAAGTTGATTTACCTGTAATTCGAGTACAAAAAGTCATGATCTTAACATGCCCTTTGAGGTGGAAAAAGTTAGTAGCAATCTTGTACATGGTGATTTGTTATCTTTTCAAGAAAATGTTAAATCATAATAAATGCTATGTAATACACTGAGCTTTTGGATGCCATGCGATGCTTAAAAGTATTATTAGAATTTCGTTAATTCTTCTCACTGTGATTCTGTGGGTTGCCACTACCCATTTCCTACTTGTGCATAAGTTTAAATTGTCCATCCAATATCCTACTTAGAACTCCAATAGTAATTTTCTGTGTACTGATGTGTGCATTGCTTTATACTTCTGTCTAGAATAAAGACCACCCAATATGGAAATTCGATGGGAAAAGCGGATGGGATGCTGAATTGGATACGAAAGGCAGACCTAATTCTTCTTCTAGACATTTAGGGAAATCTGCCCGTAAGAAAATGAAACGTGAGCTTATTCATTCTTTGACTTCTATTCTTTTCAAATTTATATTTTAAATTACCCTGCAGTAATCTATTATCCTTTGTTACACTTTTTTCCTTTCCAATCTTACTTTCATGAAATTCAATTTTGATTATGATATTCTGGCTAGGATGACCATTTTTTTCATTGTGTTCCAAAGTTTACAAGATTAATGCACATATTATAATCGTTGTGCTTTGTAAGCTGGATGATGCCCCCATCTATTATTAATAAGTTTTTCTAATGTGGGATTAAAATACTAGATTTCTAGTTGTTATGTTAGGAAGTATTTTACTTTCAGAATTTTGAGATTCGAGTTTTATTGTTACTTTTTTAGTTTAATTTGGTTCTCCCCTTCTTTCTATGACTTCCCTATTCTCTATATTTGCTGGTCCTACCTCTTCTCTACCTAATATTCTGGTCTTAACAAACCTATTAAAAAAAAGTTTTAATCAATTTCTGTGATGAAGTTGTCACATGTGGTGGTGGCTGTAGAGGATGTCAACTCTTACTCCCAAACAATATTTCTGTTAGAAAGTTCTCCTGACCCCAACAGCAACAATTTTTATTACAGGATAATACCTAACAAACATTTTAAATACTGTAAATAGAATATCAACCTAATTATGGAGTAAAGCCTACAGAATTGGTTCTCTTATTCTCTTGCTTTCTTCATGGTTATTAGACGTGCATATTTAATATTAAGATATAATGGGAGATGGAGGACAACCCTGTTAATCTGGTGCCATGAAATTCATTGTACAAACTGGAAATTAGACCATTGGTACCTTATGGAAATTATCTTACTCGTGCCAGGTGTTGTTTTTGAAAAATTTAACCTCTGTGATTAGTTAATGCTAGTTATCTAAATGTTCGCTCCAAATATTTGCTAGTAATATTACTGTTATGGTGGCAAGAGAATGAAATCAACGTAATAATAGATTTAAATACTAAACAATAAGGTACAGTTGTATTGTTTGTATAGGTGCAAAAAATTTGTAGCTTAGTATGACTATTTATGAACTGGATGCTTCCTTATATTACTTGTACAGGTAAGTTGAAAAGAGAGAGTGTTCCTGAGGATTTTGATGATCCCGAATCAATTTTCCAAGAAAGATTCAGGAGCAAATGGTATACTTGGAGTTACCATCGACGGGAGGACTCCTCTTTCCAAAGTTCATCATCTGGATTTGAGTGGCGAGAGCACTCAAACAGGACAAACCAAAGAACTAAAAATTGGAAGACTCTAAGTGACACCGAGTCTGATGACGAGTTTTGTGGTGTAGGATCATATTCTGACAGAAAAATCCTCGGCCTTCCTCGAAGAGGTCCTTTAAAGATAGAAGATGTTAAAAATGCGTAAGCAGTGCAGTTGTCTTGTCCAACTTAAAGCAGAAGTGGACATTTTGATCTTGTATTTTGCCTTCTGTTTTTATTGGTTCTTGAGCTTATTAGCTTTCTCCTTGCAGATTCCGCTTATCAGCTTTAAAATGGCATCCAGATAAACACCAAGGCCCTTCACAGGTTAGTTAGTAAAAATTCTGGTCGTGAGAAAAGGTTCAATGTGTTCTGTTGTTGACTACTTTTCTGCATCTAATTGTTACATGGATGTCCAATTTGAGAATTTACTTTGATAGACCACTTTTTATCTTTATTATTATCAAATTACCTTGAGATCATTACCATTCAATGAATGTTAGACTTAAATGAAGTTCAGTTCAGTTTGGTGATTCGTTTTAATTTTTCATTCTACTATTATCTGATCACTGTAAAACTTGAACATTTTATGTGTATATGTACTTACTGAAAACGAAATATTACATGCATAGTGAAAGAAAATACAGCGCATACTTGAATTAGTTGTTCAGAATTTAGCATACCAAATAGCATTCGGTTTCTGAATTGTTTGGTTTAGTTTGCAAATATAGTGTTTCATGTTAAAGGACGTAATCCTCATACACTATGCCCAATACAACCTATTGGATCAACTTGAGACTGTAAATTAGGACATTGCAGCCATTAATTTTTCCTGCTTATAAGATTTTCCTTTACTTCTTTTTTATTCAAATTTTTATTTTTTCATTACATTTTGAATCTCACATTACCTCTATGCATATTTGCAGGCAATGGCTGAAGAAAAATTCAAATTGTGTGCGAATGCATACAAATCACTCTGTGATGCTCTCTCCTCAGTTTGAAGTTTAGGAATTTGTCAAAATCATGTAGCTTCTAGCAAGCTTTTCTTTTCAAAAAGGGATTGACAGCGATCAAGGAAAGATGTACGTTTTTTTTTTTCTTTTCGCCTCACTGTATGATTAACTTCAATTTTTTTTATCCGTTTTTCTCTGCTCCATAGCAATGTACTAGGATAACATTTCTGACATTGCGCTGATTCACTGGTGCAAGTTGAATAAAATATAAAATTAATAGACTTTAACCAGAATTTTTGGTAATCATTTTCCAAAATTAATGTGGAGTTAAATGACTTTAACCTGTAACGACTAGTTCTTTCCGTATTTTAACTTACATTCAAGAATGCAGACAAAGAGTACATGATTCTTGAACACTAGTAATTAGACTATAAATGCTTTCTTCTGCTTCGGTACCAACCACCTTTAGAGCTTTTCATAGAAGGGGATTTACAGGATGGAGAGTTAAGAGCCCAATGGATGGAAACCTTCTATTAGAATGAAAGGAATTAACATTTGACAGGGTATTAGGTAGTTTGTGCAGAAATCTTTTATTAAATGTTATTTGATGTGAACTAGAGGACGATAATTAAACGTTGCATGTCACCCGTTTGTCTATCCTAATAACGTGATATTATACGTGTTTAATTTCTTTTTTTCTTTTTTTTTTTAAATCTAACTATGGTTATGATAGATGAGTTTTTTTATTAGATGTATTTTGTGATATGATATTATGGATGGATATATAGATGACGTGATTCTATGCACTGGACACATCTTAAACTTTCTCCTTATATATCTCGAATTTTCTTTGTTTGATCTCTCTACAAAAGTACACAGCTTGTTGAGTTTTGTAATAGATGCATTCTACAATATGATTTTATTGGATGAACATATTGATAACCTGATTCTGTGCGCTCGACACAGCTTAAACTTTCTCCTTCACAATTGTTTTTGTTTGATCTCTTTCCAATAAATACACGACAACTTGGTGAGTAATTAGTCGTTTTGTGAAGACAAGTAGGACCTGGAATTTAAAGTCCAAGACCTCATTCCAAAAGTTTGGTTTGGCATCATCATATGCAATAACAATCATATTCAAGTCTTTCTCACCAAAGCCTGGCACATTCCAACCACTTACATTGAATTTATTGAGTTGATCTAAACTTTAATAGGTTACAAATAGCTTAGTTGATATGCTGCAACAGTATAAAATGCTTTTGGAATTAAATCCTCAAGTAACACTGGGTTAGAAAGGATTGCTTTTAACTTGAAAATTAGAATTTAAAAATATTTATAACCTTATTTTATTGTGTCATGAGCAATTAACCTCTTGGTTGGGGCCTCGACCAATTAAATCTTAATCCAACACTTGCACTTTCAATTTTAAACAGATTATATATAAATAGTATTACAAATTTATAATTATAACATAATCTTTTTGTGTCAACGATAAATACTAATAATACTCTCTTACTCTTCTGAAAATACCAATGTTTTGATACCCAACCTAGCCCAGCTTCAACCGAGACTTGGGGTATTTGTTCGGCAGGTTATCACTTTTAACTATTTACCCTAAACCCTATAATTATGAATGATGATTGACGAGCATACAATGACAATTATGTTAGGGTTTTTAGAGAGGGAGTGCCAATGAGTCCAAAGGTGGTGAAGGGAGTGATTTTTAATGAGTGAATCCATTGAAAATGGCAAAAATAGACCTATTTGGCCTAGGTTGTCGACACTAGAGGTGGTGTTTGATGTGTTTTTGCAAGATTTTAAACTTATAGAGACTTATAAATAATTTTTAGGAGTATCTTTGTTGAATTTCAAACCTTTAGACACAGGTTTGACCAATAGGCGTCAGTCAAACCGGTTCAGCCGGTCAATCTTTCGGTCAAACTGGTTCAACTGATCAGCTCAATACCAGCCATTTTGCCGGGTTTCACCTTGGGTTGGTAATTAAAACCTTGGAAAATACATGGAGAAAAACAAAAGAAATTGGAGGTTTTATCTTTTGCATACAGCGAGAAAGAGGATGTTGCTAACATTCTTCTCAAAATAATTTTTTTTAACTTTCTTTTCAACTCATTGAATTTTATTGATCACAGAAATAAAGTATTTTGTGTTCAAGGGTTTATTTCCATTTTTTCCCATGAAGTTGCTGAGAATTATCAAAAATCCTTTAAATGAGTTTAAACTAAATGATTTCACGACGAAAATAAAATAAACCTTTGTGTTAAAATGTATTACAAATAATATTACTATTACAAAAAGCCTTAACCTCAAAAAGGGAACCATTGAAATATGAGAGCTGTAATGGACTGCATTGCAGGTACTGACAATCTCTGAGTCTCCACAGTCCACACTTTGGATTTCGAATTTCAAGTTTCAAATCCAAACAAGAAAACAATTCAGCACATCTTCACTGTGTCATTAATATTGTCCCTCTTTAAGAAGTTCGAAAGGTCAAACTTTTCTTGAAGACTTAAACTTTTCTTGAAGAATAAAAAAGAAAAAAGTATTCAAAGATTTTCATAAAAAGCATCACAAATTATACTAAAAGCAAAGAATTACAACAGAAGTTGAAACCATAAAACCATAAATCAAGATCAAGAAACTGAAATGCAGAGCCCAGTTCCTCTTAAACTTACCAAAATAACTCTCCGGAGGCTCCTGATAATGAATCTCAAACTCCCCACTATCTTCTCCAAACCCTTCACCGAACTCTCCATTACTCATTCTCATCTTTATCTCCCTCAGCTTCTCGGTCGCCAACCCCAAAGTCAGCTTGTGGCACCTCCTTTGGTACTTGAACCCATTGATGCACCTGAGAGTTTGAGCCACAGAAACATAAAAGATCAACTGGGCGAGGGAGAGTAGCGTGATGGGGACCCAGCAGTGGCGGCATTGGAGGCGGGGGGACTGAGCCTCAGCCATGAAGACGAGGCTCAAGAAAATGAAGAAGAGGAGGAAGAGTTTGTGGAGCTCCTTTTTTTGGAGGTCAATGGCTCGTTTTTTCTCCAGGGTTTTTTCGAAGTGGAGTTGGATGATTGTGTTTAAGGCTTGGAGGGCGGTTTCTTTGGGGATAAGGTTGTGGTTCTGGTGTTGCTGGTGGTGATGGTGGTGGGGAGAATATTCTGCCATTGATGGAGGAGGTGGAGAGTTGAGTTTGTGGATACTGGATAGAGAGAGTAAGAAATGGCCGTTGGTTTTGGGAAGGGTTTAACCGTTTGAGTGAAAGATTGAAGAGTTTTAAGTTTGGGAATCTCGAGGAGTTAAATGATATATAAAATATGTAAAACGGGGATGTAATGGCGAAAATACAAGTTAAAAACAAAAGGGTAAACTTTCTCTTTCTGTTCCAGGTTTTTGCTCCCTGGTTTTCTGTCAAATCAAGANTTTAAAAATATTTATAACCTTATTTTATTGTGTCATGAGCAAGTAACCTCTTGGTTGGGGCCTGGACCAATTAAATCTTAATCCAACACTTGCACATTCAGTTTTAAACAGATTATATATAAATAGTATTACAAATTTATAATTATAACATAATATTTTTGTGTTAACGATAAATACTAAGAATACTCTCTTTACTTTTCTGAAAATACCAATGTTTTGATATCCAACCTAGCCCAGTTTCAATCGAGACATGGGGTCTTCATTGGGCGGGTTATCACTTTTAACTATTCACGTTAAACCCTATAATTATGGATGATGATTGACCCTATAATTATGGATGATGATTGACGAGCATACAATGGCAATTATGTTGGGGCTTTTAGAGAGGAAGTGCCAATGAGTCCAAAGGTGGTGAAGGGAGTGATTTCCAATGAGTGAATCCATCGAAAAGGGCAAAAATCAATCGACCAAAACAACAGCTTGTTGTCGACGATTGATGGAGCGAACGGGGGAGAAGTGAGATGGGTTTTGGTCAGGAAGCTAAGGAGAGTGTTTTCGTGGTAATGGAGAGAGTTGTCGTTGCCTGAAACAGACCTATTTGGCCTAGTTTGTCGACACCAGAGGTAGTGTTTGAGGTATTTTTGTGAGATTTTAAACATATAGGGACTTATATGTAATTTTTAGAGGCATTTTTGTTAAATTTTAAACCTTTAAACATAGGTTTGACCGACGGGCGTCAGTCAAACCAGTTCAACCGGTCGATCCACCGGTCAAACTGGTTCAACTGATCAACTCAATACCAGCCACTTTGCCGGGGTTTCACCTCGGATTGGTTATTAAAATCTTGGAAAATACATGGAGAAAAACAAAAGAAATTGGAGGTTTTATCTTTTGCATACAGCGAGAAAGAGTATCTTGCTAACATTCTTCTCAAAATAATTTTTTTTAACTTTCTTCTCAACTCATTGAATTTTATTGATCATAGAAATAAAGTATTTTGTGTTCAAGGGTTTCTTTCCATTTTTTCCCATGAAGTTGCTTAGAATTATATCATTATTAAAAATCCCTCTAAACGTTTATAACAACTCCTTCCAGAATTATCAAAAATCCTTTAAATGAGTTTAAACTAAATGATTTCACAACGAAAATAAAATAAACCTTTGTATTAAAATATAAAATGTATTACTATTACAGAGAGCCTTAACCTAAAAAAGGGAACCATTGAAATATGAGAGCTGTAATGGACTGCATTGCAGGTACTGACAATCTCTGAGTCTCCACAGTCCACACTTTGGATTTCGAATTTCAAGTTTCAAATCCAAACAAGAAAACAATTCAGCACATCTTCACTGTGTCATTAATATTGTCCCTCTTTAAGAATTTCGAAAGGTCAAACTTTTCTTGAAGACTTAAACTTTTCTTGAAGAATAAAAAAGAAAAAAGTATTCAAAGATTTTCATAAAAAGCATCACAAATTATACTAAAAGCAAAGAATTACAACAGAAGTTGAAACCATAAAACCATAAATCAAGATCAAGAAACTGAAATGCAGAGCCCAGTTCCTCTTAAACTTACCAAAATAACTCTCCGGAGGCTCCTGATAGTGAATCTCAAACTCCCCACTATCTTCTCCAAACCCTTCACCGAACTCTCCATTACTCATTCTCATCTTTATCTCCCTCAGCTTCTCGGTCGCCAACCCCAAAGTCAGCTTGTGGCACCTCCTTTGGTACTTGAACCCATTGATGCACCTGAGAGTTTGAGCCACAGAAACATAAAAGATCAACTGGGCGAGGGAGAGTAGCGTGATGGGGACCCAGCAGTGGCGGCATTGGAGGCGGGGGGACTGAGCCTCAGCCATGAAGACGAGGCTCAAGAAAATGAAGAAGAGGAGGAAGAGTTTGTGGAGCTCCTTTTTTTGGAGGTCAATGGCTCGTTTTTTCTCCAGGGTTTTTTCGAAGTGGAGTTGGATGATTGTGTTTAAGGCTTGGAGGGCGGTTTCTTTGGGGATAAGGTTGTGGTTCTGGTGTTGCTGGTGGTGATGGTGGTGGGGGGAATAGTCTGCCATTGATGGAGGAGGTGGAGAGTTGAGTTTGTGGATACTGGATAGAGAGAGTAAGAAATGGCCGTTGGTTTTGGGAAGGGTTTAACCGTTTGAGTGAAAGATTGAAGAGTTTTAAGTTTGGGAATCTCGAGGAGTTAAATGATATATAAAATATGTAAAACGGGGATGTAATGGCGAAAATACAAGTTAAAAACAAAAGGGTAAACTTTCTCTTTCTGTTCCAGGTTTTTGCTCCCTGGTTTTCTGTCAAATCATGAGAAGGGCATTTATTTATTTACATTTATTTATTTTTAAATTGTGGATTTTGTTCCTTCCAATTACTTAATTACCATCAACTAAACTTTAGTTGAAAATTTTACATCGGAAACAGGAAAAATTAGCTTTTTTTAAGTTTTAGTCACCGTCGCGCCTCAAATTTATATATGAGATGGTAGCTTAATTTTTTTTACTTAAAATAATAATATAAATTTTCAGTTTCTCATTTGAAATCTATTAGTTGGTGAATGAAAAGCCACAAGTAATATTTTTATATATCATTTCAGCATTTTGCAAATTGCTGGATTATGATTTATCAGCTATTATTAATTAGCTTTTCAAATTAGTTTTTTTTTTTTTTTTTAATTTACTTGAGACTTCAGGTTAGTTTGTCCGCATTATCATTGAAATCCATTAAACACATTATAAATTTAATGAGTCAGGTAAGTTATAAATGTAATAGGTGATTATACTTCTACGTAATTCACTTAAATGGTTAAATTCTTGTCATCCAAACATAAGGTTAGTAGTTAGTTTAATCCTTTATATATGTACTATGAATTAATATCAAAATTCAAAATTTAAGATCTTCGTAGGGTTTTGTTTACTGCATAGGGGAAATTTTAGACTTTATATTCACTTTTTCATTCACATCACTTTGTATAAAAATCTTTACAAGACTTCTTTATAATAGGAGTATAACTCAATTTTTAAACATATCTAAATGTTTAAATAAATTTCATCCATTTACTAAATAATCTTTATCTATATATATTTATTACTCATGTTATACTTTCTCAATTTTTATTTTATATATACTTTTTTTATTTATCTATATTTAATATATAAATCAAGCATATAAACAATTTTTACACATTAGCTTCACCTGTTTTTTTTTTTTTTTTTTTTTTAAATAACATACTTATAAATTTTGTAACGTTAGAAACAATAAACTATGATAAAATAAACTCAAAGAATTGAATACATATATGCTATTGATCAAATTTATTTCAAAATAAAATAAGGGTTTACGATGTAGAAAGGAAATAAAAAATTTAAATTAATAGCAACAAATATTTTTAAATGGATGGTGTATAAAATGATTTAAAGTCTTGGTAAAGGATAAAACTGTAATTAAGAAGAAAATAATAACTAGGGTCAAGTTAAAAGGTGGAGGCGAATAAAATATACATTAATAACAAGAGTTCATTTTAGTTATTAACAATTGAAGTACGTATTTTAGTAGGAGAAATAATCATTGTCCTTGGTGGAAAAGGTTTTGTCATCACCTACCACTATAAATAATGAATTCAATTTACCAAAATGAACGTATAGATTATAGAATAAAGAATTGAATTTGAGGGATTGTCAAAATACTTGCTTGTACTATCATTTCTTAATTCTTTAATTCCTGATTGAAGTGACCTGTTTTCTTTTCCAGTAACACAGCCAATGACAATTTTTAAGTCTTGCCCTGGAGAGGAGATCTAGCCAATATTATATTAACTTATTGAGCCCTTTTATTATAGGCCCAATAAGTCTCAGAGCCCACACTTTATCATCAGCCTAGATTATTAAAAATTATTATGAACAATAGAATAATCATATTAAGTCTATTAGAATATCTCATTAGACTCATACGTTATAAACGGACCAAACATTCGCTTCCAAAGTAGAACGTGACAAATATATATAAAAAAAAAAAAAAATCCCAATAATTAAAAGCGTAATGTTTGATCACAACTGTATAGAAAATGTCAAGTTGAAAACAATTTTACATTTTTCAAAGGAGCACTTAAAAATGATAAAAATGTATATATTTTGCCCCCCTCAAGATTCCTGACAGTGATATTACAGATGAGGTTGGACTGTTGAAAATAAAATATAGACTTGCTCAGTGGCTTAAGTTAGAAAAATAGTGTAATTATTCATCAAGTAGGCCAAATTGCTTGAAATATCAACAATTATATTAGCAAGATGATAAGCTTTTGCGCAGCCCTCGGTCTTTTACTGTTGTATTAATCCTTTATATCGTGGCTAATTGCCACCACTCAATTTTGTGGGTCCATTTAGAACATTTTAGAAATCAATAGAAATTGACTCAACGGTAAGTTTTTAAGCTAATTCAATAATCTAGACCAGTTATAAATAAGAATAAATTTTACATTGTAATAAGTTATAATTTTTTTAGGTCTCATCTTAACGAATTTATCTCTACATAATAATAATTATATGTATATTATAAAAAAATATATATTATATTACATTAAAGTTTTAAGATGAAATAAAATATTTATCTACAGTTGTTTGGGACAATATTTATATTTTAGAGTTGTTACTACATCATTTATCTTGCGGGTACATCAACATAAACACCTTCTTATTGAAGTCAAAATATTTCTAACTCTCAAGCATGTTTAAAGCTTGTTGGCATGAAACTTTTGGTATTTCCATATTATCATCCTCAAGATTATCTTCTTCCTCTTCTTATCTAATTTTAGTAATGATTTATTTTTCCATTAAAACATACATGACTAGTTGCTCATTTAGATTATTGAGGAAGATATTAATATCTATTTGATCAGTGCAGTGAAGTTGTCGAATCTGATAACTCAATTTTACAGTGACTCTTTGATATCCAATTCTGTGCTATCTTAATGCTACTAAAACAATGAATTGAAATCCTAATACTACTAAAACATGAATTATAAAATAAAAAATGAAAACAATAATTTTTGTAACTACACCTCTATTAAATTATAACCTCCTTATAGTAATAAATTTAATTGGTCCCAACATTATAACTATAGAGAGATTCTTCTATATATATTATCTAATTGATAATCGTGAAAAACTCGTATTATACTTTTAATTAATTCATTCTTCTCGTTAAAAAAATATTAAAAACCTCATTATAGTGTTACTCTATATAAGAATAAACTCTCCATAGTCATAAAAAATTCTAATTCTAATTTGGGATAGTTATAAATAAGAATAAACTCTAGATTGTAATAAGTTATAATTTTTCTAAGCCCCATTTTAAAGAATTTGCCTCCACATAATAATAAATATCTGTATATTACAAAAAAAAAAAAAAATGTTATATTACATTAAAAATTTAAGATGAAATAAAATATTTATCTAAAGTTGTTTAAGACAATAATTTATACTTTAGAATTGTTACCACATCTTTTATCTTATGAGTACGTAATAACTCGCTAACATGGACATTTTCTTGTTGAAGCCAAAATAATTTTACCTTCTCAAGTATGTTTAAAGCTTCATGGCACGAAACTTTTTGTATTTCCACACTATCATTCTCATGATTATTTTTTTCTCTTCTTTTCTAATTACAGCAATGATTTCTTCTTCAGTTAAAACATACACGATTTGTTGTTCATTTAGATGATCAAGGAAGACATTAATATCCATTCGATTAGTATAGTGAAATTGTTGAATCTGATCACTCAATTATATAATGACTCTTTTATTTTCCTCATCCACTTCATTTGAAACTTGTAATTCATCAACATCAGTGATCTTAATTTAGCAGTGCTTAAAATCATTGACAATTGTCTGTGGCTTTACATCAATTGCATTTACAGTTCCATCAATGACATTTATCTTTGTTGGTTTCAAGACACAATCTTCTATCCATTTCAAAAGTAGACAATTGAAGTGTTGAATTGAAATCATAAATCATAATTCTGTACTACTAAAAAATAAATTATAAAATAAAAAATAAAAAAATAATTTTTGAAATTATAACCTATTTATAATAATAAAATTAATTGGTCCATTATATAGTCATTGATCACGCTATTGTTTTACTGTAATTATATTAGTTCTTTTGGTCAAGAAAATATTAAAAACACTTGTAACTATCAAACCTTCTTACAAATATCAAGCAACCACTTATAAAATTATCAAAAACCCCCTGATAGAAGGATACTTCTACAAAAAGAATGCGTTTAATCTTAAGCAATCTTACCCGGGGGGGAATAAAATAAACCCTTAACATAAATCCTGTAGAGTTCAATTCAATTCACATGGTACCACAACATAAAAGAGTAGTGAAATTTCCAGGAAAAGTAATGGGAAAGTTTTCCCACAACCACCTTTAACCAAGGTTTGGCAATGGCTGAAAGTCACCAGAAAAGGAGAAAACATGAAATGGAAAAATGAAAAAGCAAATGTGAAAGATAACGAAATGATGATGAGTTTAGCCAGCAATCATTCCTTATCGCTTGTGCACGGGTGATTGATACAATAGCCACTTTATAAAAAGGTGTTCACTCTTTCTCTTTCATTTCTAGTATTTCTGCAGATTCTTAGTGTACAATCATTGATACAAAATTACAATCACAACCAACCATTTCTCCCACTTCTGCACGAATGGGGGTGTGAATTATCAAAAGCTAAAATAAAAGCACAGTGTTACATTGATTTATATATAAATGTAAATGTAAATATTAAATATACATTACACCACCTAATCTTATTCTACTCTCTAAGCTTCTCTCCCACTATCTCTCTTTCACAACATTTATTCAACAAATGATGGAACATATAATACAATATAAAGCTAGACACTCAGCCATATTCCCAGATACCTTCATATGTTTGAATATCGAAGGTTTAAATGCTGGAAAATTTGACCCACAAAAACTATGATGCAGTAGTAGGCTATGGAATGAGCCCAATGGAAATTGACTATCACGCTTTGTGTAAAGAGGACATGACCCACATCTTAAAGTTGAGCACAACAATTACTTTAGTTCTAAAAGGAACTTCCCTGTTTGTGTTTTTTTTTTTTTTTTTACCCCTTACCCCATGATTGCTACTGAAGATGGATTAGTAGCTACTATTTGATAATCGTCCTGCTCGTTCTCATCTTCGTTATCTCCATCTTCTTGATTGTGATCGACGTTTTCACTTTCACCGTTGTTGTCTGTTGCTAAGTCCAGTTGTTGTCGCTCTTCTTGGGAACCCATCATGTGCATTAAGAGTTCTTCGGGCTTCAACTCATAGATGGGGTTAACAGGATCAATAACCTTCTTTGCTGTCCTCTCTTTATATATGGCGTCAAGCTGGTGAAAGTAAGGACATGTTTTGGCATCCTCAGGCCGTTTCTTATTGCTTTCTTTAACCTTCTTGAAGTACTTGTTCATATTCTCCCATTTCTCCTTACACCTTTTCGCGCTTCGGTTGTAACCAAGCTTTTTCATGGCTGCCGATATCTCCTCCCATAGTGGCCCTTTAGGTCCATTTTCTTGATAATTCCCATCAAGATTAGTCCTTAGCTTTATCAAAGCCTCAACTTCATCTTTAGGCCACCTTGATGAACCCAAATGCAAAAAACTCTCGCCACCATTACTGAACTCTTGCCTCTCCACAAGTTTCTCAGCAGGAACTGGGGTTTCAGGCAATTGCACTGGAGTCGATTGTTCAGAAAACTTCTGCAAAAAAGCAAGTACTGCCGCATCCTTGGCTGCAGCTATGGATCTTTCTTGAACCAAAAGTTCACGCTCTCTCTTAATCCTATCCAATTCCTGCATCTTCCACGCCTCCTCTCTTGCTATCCGATCTTGTTCACACTTTTCTATTGCGTCTAAAAATTTCTTTTGCAAATTCTCCTGTTTCTCTACCACTTCTCTCATCAACCTCTCAAAAAAATCTGTCAATTTCCTCTTCTTCTTTTGTGTCCCCGCTGACTCTTTACTAGTCGTTGAGGTAGTTGAAGTAGAGGTGTCCATAAAATTTAAACTCGGATTTTGGATAGAACATGGCGCAACATTTTTTACCGTACTTATTGGGTCAATTTCCATCACCATAGAAGAATTAATCCTTTCAGGGGAAGAAGATGGAAGGTAAGAATGGGTATCTAGAGCTTGTAACTGATCAAAAAACCGATAAGTTTTGCCTGATCGACCTTCTTTGGTTCTTCTATGATATTTATAAATGTTTTCAAACTTCTCTTTGCATTTCTTCGCGCTACGACTATACCCAAGTTCCGATAATTTCCTGACATCATCACACATAATTTTCACTTCATTTGGATACCAATTTACTAATAAAGAATATCCTGACAATAACACTTCCATAAACAAATACATTACACTTTAGTTCTCTAATTTGAATAAAAAATTCAATCTAACCTAAAAGGATTCAAGTAACCAAAAAGTTGAAGCACAATAATTAAACCTCGTAAACCACCATCACAGTAAAAAAAGAAGAGCTCTATAATAGAAATTATATGCAACTTCACACCATAAGCATAAGCTATAAACACATAAAATAGAGCTAAAATACATTGAATTTCATAAAAATATAAACCAATAATCCAAAATCTAAACTTCTTCAATTTATTTTCTAGGGAAACAAACAAACAAAGAATGCCAAAATGAAAAGAACAAACCAACACAGCGTCTTTTAACTTTCTACCAAATTTTCTCAAGAAAGGCTTCAACTTTTGAACACAAAACTTAATTTTAAAACTAACCTTGAAACCTCTTCCCATAGAGGAGCCTTGAGACCAGAGTCTTTAAACACAGTATCCATCTCAGACCTTATCTTCAACAAAGCCAAAGTCTCTTCTTTTGGCCACCGGTTACCGCCAAGGTTCCGGTCACCCTCTTCACCTTTCACTCCCTCCTCATCTTGTTCACCTCCATTCTGCCGGTTTCCGGCAGAAAGCTCTGGTTTTTCCGGTAAAGCTGAAGCTTCCATGATTTTCCCAGAAAAAAAATGAAATTTTTACAGCTGAGAAAATTTGGTGAATTCTAAGGCTTTGAGGAGCTGGGTAAAATTTTTTTTTTTTTCAGTTGGGGTTTTTCATTTATGGTTTATGCAAATGGGTTTTCTTGTTTTGGTTTGATTTGTGAAAATTTCTACTACAAGTAGCCATTTTTAAAATGGGTTAAGTAGGTAACAAATGTAAACACACAGAGGTGAATTAGGGTTTCTTAAACGACATAAAGAGTGTGAGTAGTGGTCAAGTGGGGCTCAATCCAGCTAACACCAGTGACCTGGCACCTCCTCATTGGTCAAATGTTTATCTTCTTCTTTTGACATTTATTGTTTTGACCCAAGTTTCGGTTTGGTTTTTTGAGTCAAAATTTGTAGCCTTGAGCACGCTTTGTAACTAGTTAAGCCTTTGAAATTGAAACAATTCACATTTTCTTGCCTTTTTAGTAACTTATTTTAATTTTTTTCTCTCATTAATAAACCCCCTTTTCATTAGGTTTTTTTTAACAAAACAATATTAATTACTAAAGAGTACAAATCAAAGATCAACAATTAACAGTTATTTTTCGTTAAACTAGAGATTAAAAGTTGATATTTGATTTGTCCGATAATTGGGAAGGATTATAAATATATATATATATATATATATATATATTGAAGATTAAAGAAAAGGGATTGAAGGGGTAATAAGTATCAATTAACAGTTGTAAAGAAGCAAAGATGGTTTTGTCTTGACAACCAAAATTGGTTAAAAAGTAGGACCACTAAGCCACCTTTGCCTTTTGAAGTGTTTTTGTTTTCCCATTAACTTTGACTGAATTCATTTCTGAAAATCTGCAACCCCTTTTGAGAATTTGTTTTTTCTTTAACATTCTTTTAATTACTTTTGTAAAACTTTATGCTTTTAACATTCATACAAATTGAGAAAATCAACACTTGCCTTACTTAGGTCACTTTTCTAGATAAGGTTCCATGTCATAGGGATTATAGGTTTATCCACCCATATTTATCACATTAATCATAATCCACAAGATTGGAATAAAATAACAATTGTTGTATCTAGACCCAAATGAAAGAGGATTATGATAAATCAACTTAAATTTTTGTGTCACTATCTCATTTCTCTAGGGAAGTAGAGTTTAAATCTATATATATAAGCAGTCAGTTTACCCAGTTCAACAGTAACGAGTTTTGAATAAAAGTTGTTGACTTAAAGTTGAAAATCAAATTCTCGTTAATCATAATAACGTCTAGGTCCAAACAGAAGTGGGTTATGTTATATAAACTTAAATTTATGTGTCATATCACGTGTTGCTAGAGAATAAAAGTTACATGAAACTAAAAAAATATATTCTGATTTGGTAAAAAACGAATGATATTTGATTACACTCGTGCAATAAAGGTTAAATTATAGTAAATAGATTATAGTGAAATAATGTCAAAAAGTTTGAAGTCTAACCCATCTAGGTTATTAGTTAATCTCATTTAGAAGTTAAGAAAATTAAATAGTAATAATGCAAGGTGACTTACTTTTGTACGAAGAAAGTAAAAGAGTGTGAATGGGTAGACTCAAATCATAAAAAAATTGATTGCTAAGAGACAAAGTTAAAGGTGTATAATTGGTATACGTAAATGTGACTTTCATTTGGGAAAATTTTATTTATTTATATTCACATTAACCATACAATCAATTATTGAGAGAATAAAAATCAAAGCCAAAGTCAAGTTTTTCAACCAAGATGGTGATGAAATTGTGGTCTAAAGCCTCCCACGAAGATAAACTAGACCCAAGCGATTGTGACCACTCAATTTGATGGGGTATTTTGCCAGCTAATTTGGTTCAACATATCTTGAAATTTATGGTAGAAGGTTTAGGATTCCTATAAAAAAGCTTTAGTGAATTACAAGTCATATTTGTACTGTTCTGCTTGATGCTAACAAGTAACGACTGTATTGTTTAGAAGATAAAATTCCTAGGTAATTCTCATTTCAACCCCTTCAAGTTTAACTACTTCATGTTAACTCTTTATAGTTTTAAAAATAGTTAGTAGCATTTCCCCTCTCAGCTATATGATTAAATAACAAAATTTATTGAAATTTCTGAAATTTAAAAAAAAAAAAAAAAATCCTCTACCGTGAAATTATGAATAAAGAATGTCTTTGTAGAAGTGTAGAATTTATATAGCAAATAATTAGAGAATTTCACTTTCAAGGTGTGCAAACTTTTGTAGATACAAGAAGAATGAATTTATGCATATGACTGTTAAGAGCATTTGTTATTTTGGTATATACCAATAACATCCTTATCTAAATCTTGATAATATGGTAATCCATTAGATTAGCACTAATTTTAATTTTTTTTTTTTTTTTTTTTACCACAAACTCTAATAAAATCAGTGTTCATGTAAATAATACTGAAATCTTTTATTTATGACCACAAAACTCTACAATGGTTCAATTCTCTAGTACCTTTTGAGTTAGGTGCTTTAAATCTCATTTATTATTGTCAATTCTCTCTCTTATTGAAAGTTTCCATCTTAAATTTTCTAATACATTGGATTCTAAGGTATCCAAGGATCTATGATGGTAAGGGTAAGTCGTCTTGTAAGCTCCATTGACTTGTGTTTGTTTTCCAAAGGAAAGATCAACCCCATTTTAAGGGGCACAATTGACTCAAATGGATTAAACTTACACAATTGTTAAAATTCATAAGAGTAATCCTTCATATGCAAATTATTTCATATAAATTAATTAACGATTATAACTTGGATTTAATTTCAATATATATATATATATATGATTTTCTAACAGGACCATCATGACAAATCTAAAATTCTCTTTAAATTAATTGTTGTCAAAACACAATAACTATTGTTTGAAATACTTATATTATGAACAATAAAATAAATTGAAAGTTTTATATATAATTAAGCATATTCATATAATTTGAACTTGAAATGATAAAGAAAAGAGAGTGATGCAACATCATGGCAAAGAAATGTAAAAAGTGAACAGAATTTGCTCAAATCTCAAGCAATTTTAATATCAGCCACTTACACCTCTTCAGTGCTTATGATTGCATTTTAATTAATTAATTAAACTTTAATAATGATCTTCACTTCGTGCCAAATTATTTGGTAGTTGACATGTTTGTGTTATAAATTTTAATCTATTCTTTTATTTAATAATCACCTTTTATATGAAGTAGTTATTCATAATTATATCACAATTCAAACATTTTTCATTACATTTTTCTCTATTTCTAGTGAGTCATTGTACAAAAAATTGAAACAATTAAAAAAAAAAAGTGTGAAAAAAATATTTCTACTTTCTATGACTTTTTAACTATGAAAATAAGTTTCCTCATTTTTTTGTTTCTATTTTCTCTAATACTATCAAGCAAGTTTTGGATTTAAATTTTAATATACAATTGAAATTTATTTTATATATGAAATTTTTGAAAAAAAAAAAATTGGATCTCAAATCAAACAATAGAGAAGTAATCCTTTTTGGTTAATGAATACAATATCAAGAAATTTTTCATATGGTAAAATACTTGTATTTCAAACTATTCAATTGCACTGCCATCATCCTTGCAATCTCCCAGCTATTGTGGCGTGGGAGAAAGTGGTGCAATCTCTCAACGCACACTGCGGCAGGACTCAGTTTATCCATAAATTCCACGTCCTCAATGTCAATGTGTTAGCATAGTGAACACTAATAGAAGTATTACGTCGAGAAACATTATCTCCAATGATAATAAACCGATGTAGCGTCAGTACATTAAAATGCATTTGGAAAAGGTAATCTCAATACAATTATTCTGTTTGTGAACGGTCATGAATGCGTTGATGTAAAAAAGGTTTTCTAGTAGTTCAAATTGAGTCTAACTTTGCTTTCACGTCTCTGATCATACAAGGGTTGAAATTGTTGATCAATAAGTATAATTCCTATCACCACATATGATGTAAAACTTGAGATATATAACTTTATTTTGCCGAAAGATGATGATTCTTTCTTATCTTTTCTTTTTTTGGTGCAATAAAAACAAACAATGTGGACATTTTTAATGGGCTTTTGCAGGACTAAATGGGCCTTGCATGATATCCACCCAAATCGAATCTTCAAATTTTTTTTTAAATAATTAATAATTACGTGCTCTGTATATTTATATAGCGGCGCTAGAAACCTATTCAAAGTAAAACAGAGAGATGGGGGTGACAAAAGAGCAAGTTGAATCTACTTTGACTTCTAAACTCAACCCTTCTCATCTTGTAAGCTCTCTTCACGATTTTAGGAACTGGGTTCTTTTTTATTTTCTTTTTTTAGTTTGTTTTGATTGATAATTTTCGAGTTCATTTTTTATATGTTTATGATGGTTTGTGTTGATGCAGTAACCATTAATTATTTCAGTGGATTATTAGTTGCCTTATGAATTTTGGCTATGTCTTTTTACTGGGTTTGAGTTTTTTGGGTTATTTCAGTTTAGAATTTTGGGGTAAGTGAAAATAAGGTTTATGTAAATCAATTGCTAAGTGCAAATATTAATGGTTAAAGCGTTGGATGTTTAACTGTTTCTTCGCGGGTGTCTCAAGATTGTGTGATGTTATGGTTATGCATCAATCTGCTAGCTTTTTGGAGTAGAAATTGTGAAAGCTCAATTGTAATTGGAAGAGAAATCTCATTGATATGCCTTTAGGTTTGGCTAAAATGCGGACAAGTTTGTATACTTTAGTTTCTTGTCGAGGTTGTTTACGGAATTTTTGAAGTTTAGGGACTAAAGAATCTTGAAGGAGGTTTTTGATGCAGTTTGGGAAAAGTAGATTCTGCTTGATTGCATGGAATCTTAATGGGGTCAATGTAGTTTATCATTGTGGTGAGATATTTTAAATGTGACTCACCGTGGTATTTATCTTTCTAAGTGAGATAGTCTCAGTGCATTTTGTGCTATAATCTAATTTTCCCATGTCTTTATTTAAGTTTAAAACTTGTTACCAATTTTTAATCATTTTGACAATGGTCATTCATAGGCTTTGCTTGTTCTCAATCTTCTGAATTGGGAATGTTTTGGTGGGTCTTATTGAAACATCTTGTTTCTAACATTTGTATGGGAAGTATCATCTTTCTGAATTGTTCTTGTCATTACGTTGTTGACAACTGGCTGAAAATACATTGATGTGAAAGCTTTTGTCTTTTTAGCTTGTTATGTGACATTGTTACGATGACCACAGTTATAAATTTCTTAGATGTATTTGTAGAATTATTGAGCAGCTGTTACTGATTTCTAAGTGCATAACAAGTAATATTAGAATCTTGGTTTACATTTGAACTAGCTGTGTCTTGAATGCTGTCTTGTATCCTAAGTCTTCTTACTCTGCATCATCATAACTTGTTCATTTCCTGGAGATAACTGTAATAATCTGATTATGTTTGGCTGCATTTGGATAGTCGCTAGGGACAATTGTGAATTTGTGCCTGGCTCAGCTTGTCTAGTTGTGGGCTTCATGTCAGGCTAGCCGGTCAGGGCATGGCTTGATTAAATAATCCAGCATGTTCAAATTGAGCATTTCTTGTGTTGAGACCAAACTGTTAGTTAGAGGCTCAGGTTTATTTGTTGACAGAATGCCGTTCATTGTTTATTAAATGTTTCTTTTTCTTGTAATCCATCCAAGCATAAACCGAGACAACCTTTTTTCCTAAAAAGTAAAACTAATTCTTAAACTTTTGTTTTTTCAGGAAGTGATTGACACATCTGGAGGGTGAGTTTCTTACTGCAAAATAACTTTATTCTGAGTTCCTGCACTGTTTTTAGGCTTTTCTTCCCCTGTTACAACTCTTGAATAATATTTGTATGTTGGTCAGATGTGGCGCAAGTTTTGTAGTTGAGATTGTATCAGCACAATTTGAAGGGAAGAGGCTGCTGGAGAGGCACCGGCTTGTGAATTCAACCCTGGAAGAGGAGATGAAGCAAATCCATGCTCTGTCTATAAAGAAAGCTTTGACCCCAGAACAGTGGAAGCAACAACAGGAGGCTGAGAAATCTAATTCTGCTGCTTAAACAGATGTTCTCCAATAGTTCAAGACATTGGTACAAGCCTGATGTAACTACTATCATAAATAGCCTTTTGGGAATAAATTTGAACATTAAATTTGGGTAAAATTACTGTTTACTAAATATAGCTAATATTGTTCTCATGTTTGGAGAAAGTTTTATATTTGGATGAGTTTCTGTTTGCCCAAATCATCAACCATTTTTCTTTTGACAAAGAAAGTTGGTTAGTAATTATTTTCCTCATTTAGTCAGCTTTCTACACTACCTATAATTTCGAACTGTTTCAGTTGTCAATATAGTTAAGTGCTCTTATCAGACAAAAAGAGTAGTATCTGGAATCTTCTCTTACCAAATTACAGCTGAGCTTTGAAGAATGTTGTGACTCATGTTAATTTATAGATCACAGGTCTGAACTGTTGTGCAAGAGGGTTAGCATCTTATCGTGGCGGAGATTAGGGGTCCAAGTTATATTGAACTGTGGGGACAAAATTGATGCTTNTTGGAAGAGAAATCTCATTGATATGCCTTTAGGTTTGGCTAAAATGCAGACAAGGTTGTATTAGTTTCTTGTCGAGGTTGTTTACGGAATTTTTGAAGTTTAGGGACTATAGAATCTTGAAGGAGGTTTTTGATGCAGTTTGGGAAAAGTAGATTCTGCTTGATTGCATGGAATCTTAATGGGGTCAATGTAGTTTATCATTGTGGTGAGATATTTTAAATGTGACTCACCGTGGTATTTATCTTTCTAAGTGAGATAGTCTCAGTGCATTTTGTGCTATAATCTAATTTTCCCATGTCTTTATTTAAGTTTAAAACTTGTTACCAATTTTTAATCATTTTGACAATGGTCATTCATAGGCTTTGCTTGTTCTCAATCTTCTGAATTGGGAATGTTTTGGTGGGTCTTATTGAAACATCTTGTTTCTAACATTTGTATGGGAAGTATCATCTTTCTGAATTGTTCTTGTCATTACGTTGTTGACAACTGGCTGAAAATACATTGATGTGAAAGCTTTTGTCTTTTTAGCTTGTTATGTGACATTGTTACGATGACCACAGTTATAAATTTCTCAGATGTATTTGTAGAATTATTGAGCAGCAGTTACTGATTTCTAAGTGCATAACAAGTAATATTAGAATCTTGGTTTACATTTGAACTAGCAGTGTCTTGAATGCTGTCTTGTATCCTAAGTCTTCTTACTCTGCATCATCATAACTTGTTAATTTCCTGGAGAAAACTGTAATAATCTGATTATGTTTGGCTGCATTTGGATGGTCGCTAGGGACAATTGTGAATTTGTGCCTGGCTCAGCTTGTCTAGTTGTGGGCTTCATGTCAGGCTAGCCGGTCAGGGCATGGCTTGATTAAATAATCCAGCATGTTCAAATTGAGCATTTCTTGTGTTGAGACCAAACTGTTAGTTAGAGGCTCAGGTTTATTTGTTGACAGAATGCCGTTCATTGTTTATTAAATGTTTCTTTTTCTTGTAATCCATCCAAGCATAAACCGAGACAACCTTTTTTCCTAAAAAGTAAAACTAATTCTTAAACTTTTGTTTTTTCAGGAAGTGATTGACACATCTGGAGGGTGAGTTTCTTACTGCAAAATAACTTTATTCTGAGTTCCTGCACTGTTTTTAGGCTTTTCTTCCCCTGTTACAACTCTTGAATAATATTTGTATGTTGGTCAGATGTGGCGCAAGTTTTGTAGTTGAGATTGTATCAGCACAATTTGAAGGGAAGAGGCTGCTGGAGAGGCACCGGCTTGTGAATTCAACCCTGGAAGAGGAGATGAAGCAAATCCATGCTCTGTCTATAAAGAAAGCTTTGACCCCAGAACAGTGGAAGCAACAACAGGAGGCTGAGAAATCTAATTCTGCTGCTTAAACAGATGTTCTCCAATAGTTCAAGACATTGGTACAAGCCTGATGTAACTACTATCATAAATAGCCTTTTGGGAATAAATTTGAACATTAAATTTGGGTAAAATTACTGTTTACTAAATATAGCTAATATTGTTCTCATGTTTAGAGAAAGTTTTATATTTGGATGAGTTGCTGTTTGCTCAAATCATCAACCATTTTTCTTTTGACAAAGAAAGTTGGTTAGTAATTATTTTCCTCATTTAGTCAGCTTTCTACACTACCTATAATTTCAAACTGTTTCAGTTGTCAATATAGTTAAGTGCTCTTATCAGACAAAAAGAGTAGGATCTGGAATCTTCTCTTACCAAATCACAGCTGAGCTTTGAAGAATGTTGTGACTCATGTTAATTTATAGATCACAGGTCTGAACTGTTGTGCAAGAGGGTTAGCATCTTATCGTGGCGGAGATTAGGGATCCAAGTTATATTGAACTGTGGGGACAAAATTGATGGTTTAAAGAAATAAGTTTGCAACAGTTACAGCTTTTATCTTGATATGATTGTAACTCTTAATAAGCTTAAAGTTTTAGTATCTATACCATCTGGGTTTTATTGCAAGTTCCTTCTAATAGTAAACAAGTAGCTTAAAAGTTAAAAGGTGAATTTAGCTATTGACTGTTTTGATCCTGCACTTTGACACCAAATAAAGGCAAACAGTTAGGGCAAAAGCAGGAATTTTTGCTCATGTCTTGGGTTGCTGACAACTTTCTACATTCATATATAGCATTTGAAAATAAATGATTGCTTCAACCGAAATCAAAAAGTCAGGCCACGGATAATGCTTGCTGAATATGTATATCCAGTTGCATACAGTCTCTTCTCTGTTTGGTCACAGGAGTAACTGTGCTACCTTTCATGACTTTATTTTATAATTATATTTGAATAATACTTTGGGTACTAACGGATGGGTACTAATCTGTGTACTAACTAAAACATAGTACGGACATTATATGCATAGTACGGATACTATGCTTTAGTTAGTACACAGATTAGTACCCATCCATTAGTACCCATAGCATCACTCATTATATTTAGTGAAACATAACTTTTAAATATTTATTTATTGATATTGGATATTACTAGTATAATATATTTGTGGTTGGAATATGACGTTTATATGTGATAAGGTGCACATGAACTCTCTCTCTTAAAAGACATGGAAACTCTCAACCACATGTACATATATTCAGATTTATCCTCGACTCTGTGTTCAATTATTTAGAGATGCAAGATTTCCATATTTGTTCCAAATCTAAACTCCTGTTTATATTGATAAAAATTTAAAGACAATTTTATTCTTTAATAAAAAAATTCAAAAAAGCTGAAAAATTAAGAAAAAAATAACTATTCCAACCAAAAAACATACCGACAGAGACAAGTTAACTGAAAACTCAAGCCTTTTATTAAACAAAGACACAACTAAAAGCCCCAGAATCCTGAGGCTTCTTCTTAACTTGCAGGCCATGACCTTCAGCTTTCATGGCTACTAAACTTCTTCAACCACCACTTCCAGCTCACCAGGCGGCAGTGCCACCACTCCACAGACTCACAAGCTTCATAAAAGCTCACAGATTCATCTCAGCCACACATCCATGGCCTAAAAACACAGCCCTTAGATCCATATTCAGTACTAAAGTTGCAAAACAAACCTCTGGCTTAGCTGAAGATGACAAGGAGACTCCACAAAGATTGACTCTTGCCCACCTCAAAGCTGACCTTTTTCAACAAGTTCAAGGTCTGTTTATCAATTATTTACCTCTTGGTTTATATACTTTTAGTGACTGTTGAACTTAAAGTTTCATTGCATTTGTTAAAGGAATCAATAGAGGAATTTTTGGAGTGCCATCTGGGAAAAAATCAGAGATTGAGAGGCTTGTGAAGCTGCTGGAGTCTCAGAATCCAACTCCAGATCCTACTGTGAATCTAGAAAAGGTAAAAAGCTTTGATTTCTAAGTGATTTTTTATGGGGTTTTGACTTTGAAGTTATAGTTTTTTTCTAAAATTTATAGGTTAGTGGATGTTGGAAACTTATTTATAGCACAATTACTATATTGGGTTCTAAAAGAACAAAACTTGGCTTGAGAGATTTCATCACTTTGGGAGATTTTTTGCAGACCATTGATATTGCTAAGGTATGCCACTTCTCTCTTTATAGAACCAATTTAGCAAGAGATTTGTGCTAATTTCTTAGTTAAGTTGTAACACCCCGCCCACGGTCAAAATGTTATTAGATTTTTGTCTCTACCGACCTCAAATAGTGGGGTTCAGAATGTGTTTCTCTTGATTCGAAAAAGAATAAGGAGTGATGCGTTCTAGACCCCACTATTTAAGGTGAGTAAGAGATAAAATCAACAATATCTTGACAATGAATCAGGGTGTTACTTAAATTGATATAAGGGGTATTCTTGTTATGTTTGTGGAGTGCTTCGTTGATAGAATCATTTAACTCAATTTCGATATTTGGTGATGCGAGAATGGAGGGTAAAGCAGTTAATGTGATCAAGTTCAATGTGAGGGGACTAAATTTGTTGAATGGACAGCTGACTATTGAAGCTTCCTTCAAGATTGCATCAAAATCAGTTAAAGCTCTATAAACTATGTCTCACTTTAATTATGCCTTTCTTATTGATGAAACTTCAATGAATTTAACTTTGTTTTATTTGAATTCTGCAGAGAGTTGACATAAATTATGACAACTCAATGATTACTCCTGATCAGGTACGCGAAACTTAGATTCTGTGAGTTGCAACTCTGTTTATTGGATGTTCTAACTTAGAATATGTTCAATGTTATTCTTGTTTGGAAAACGATAGTTGATGAACATGTTCCGGAAAAACTATGATATTCTGCTTGGCATCTTCAATCCGGATGGTTGGCTAGAGATCACGTATCCTTTACCATCGCTTTTCTTTTCATTATTATGAAGTTGAAGGCAGAATGTACTTGTTCAAGTCCTTGATTTAGCGGCCATAGATATGTTGATGATACGATGAGGATAGGGAGAGATGACAAAGGCAATATCTTCATATTAGAGAGATCAGAAGAAAGCATAACAAAATGATCAGTTTGTTACCACAAATTTCTCAGTAAATTTCACAATATATTTTTTTTTTCAGTTGGAAATTTTTTCCGGTGATGAAAACAGAAATTTTTTTACGGTGCATATGACAGAGCATCGGATTGCTTCATACTTTGATGTTAAATGAACAATTTCTGAAGGCCTGCATTTGGCAAATTTTGCAGTCAATATGTATTTATACAGCTCCATTTCTGCAGGCAGATCCTTTTGGAGAAGTTCTAATTGTTTAGTTTCTGATTACTTCAAGTCATTTTGCTCTTCTGGAGATTTAGAAACTAGAAATCTCAAAACTGTTTTCGAATCATAAATCAAACCTTTTAAGTAAGAGTCAAAAGTGTTTACATGTGCACCTATTCAATTACGGATCAACAGGTATATTGATTCATAGTATACATTACCATAATTTAATATTGTGCTAGATAGATGTGCATAAGTTCAATTGCATACATGTGTAGTAAACATATAAGATAGACATGTGACACTTGTTCAATCACAGTATATCATAAGTATATACTTTATTCAGATAAACGATCGTTTTATACCCTAATTATATACATGTTTAGATAGACAATTACAATACGCCTTAACTATGGCGATTAAAGTAAACCATGCCGTAAGTATAGCGATTAAAGTATACCTGTGTGGCACCTTAATTATGTACCCACCGAGTGATTACAATACCCTATTTGTGTACCCTTCTAGTGATTACAATACTGGTTAGTATCCATTACTTCCCTTCCTTGTTTTTCCCGGTGACACCTCACAGGTTTAAGATGACATCCCCCGCCTCACCTTTCCACTGTAATTCTCTCAAACCTCTTCTTTCCACCCTTTTTTTTTTTGGAAAAAAGAAAAAACTCTAATCCGCTGAGTATATAGACATTTGAGAGATGCAAAATGCAGCGTTCAGATACACCCTGATTAAATATGTTCTGATTATGTACACAATTAACTGATAAACTAATCAAACATTCATTCTATAAGCCATTCTTTTACACTCCTAAATTAATTAAAAATGCGAACACCAGTAAAATTCTTTGGACTAAAATTGGTAGGGGGCATTTCCACAGAAATGCTCCTCCAAAAATAGGCGTATGCCGCTATCTGCGGCGAACACACGGTATTCTTTAGTAAAAGGCGAAAGAATAGTTCGCTTTGTGTTCACCGCACGGCTCCGTGACCTTAAATCATTTGCAAGCGCTTGTTTATGTAAGTAGAAGGCCTTTACGCTGTTCCTGTTCTTCCTGATGTGGGACAAAACTCCTTTCACCAACCATTTTGTGCAACGCCCATATTTAAGAGTAATTATTACCCATATCTTACTACATCTTAAACAACATATCCTTTTTTAAAATTTTAATCATTGATGATTTTGTTTTAATTTTTTATTAGGAAAAATATTAATCAAAAATCAAAATGTGAATAAAAAAATAGATATATGATGCAAGATTTTTAAGAGCTAAAAAAAAAAGTTCATATTAAAAAAGGATTGGAGNTGCCAACTGCCGATTGTTTGTAAAAGACTGAGTGATCAGACTTGCTCTTTGTCATTCCGAACTTTGCAACTACCTTACTGAACTTTCCAAACCAAGCACGTGAACTCTGTTTCAAACCATACAACGATTTGCGAAGATGACAAACTTTCCCATACTCCCCCTGAGCAACAAATCCAGGTGATTGCTCCATATAGACTTCTTCCTGAAGGTCACCATGTAAAAAGGCATTTTTGATGTCCAACTGATGTAATGGCCAAGAATGAGTAGCCGCCATGGAGATAAACAAGCGAATAGAAGTCAATTTAGCCACAGGGAAAAAAGTGTCAGAATAATCCACTCCATAAGTTTGAGCATAGCCTTTAGCTATAAGACGAGCTTTAAGCCTAGCCACTGACCCATCAGGATTTACTTTAACAGTAAACACCCATTTACATCCAATAGGCTTCTTTCCAGTAGGTAAGTCAACCAAGTTCCATGTACCATGCATTAACATCTAAAGCATTCATCTCTTCTATCATAGCATCACGTCAACTAGGATAAGATAAGGCTTCATGAACAGTTGCAGGAAGGGAAACAGAGTCTAGTGATGCCACAAAAGAACAAGAAAAAGATGATAGGTGATCATAAGAAACAAATGAAGAGATAGGATAAGTACACTGACGTTTACCTTTCCGAAGAGCAATAGGAAGATCAAGATCACGCAAGGTTGGATCCAACGACGAATAGTCTTGGGTAGGACATGAAGTCTGAGTGTCTTCTTGACGAGGAACATAGGTATCGGGATCACTGGAGACTGGGTCTAACGACGAAGGGACTGGTACATGAGGTTCCTGTCGACGAGAATAAACAATGCGAAATGGAGGTAGTGGACGGACATGTGGTGGTGCTGGAGGAGGAACAGTAGGTGGGGAAGCCTCAGGTGTGGGAGTAGCCGGTAAGGATGTGGCAGTATAGATTAATAAGTCATTGTCCTCCCCCTGACGTGTATAGGTAGACGAAGTAGGAAAAAAAAGGGTGTTTTCTAAGAAAGTAACATCAGGTGACACCAGATATCTATTAAGACTAGGACAATAACATCGATATCCCTTCTGAAGGTGAGAGTAACCTAGANGTTATCAATATTCAATTGAATCAAACAAAAAATTCTACAAGAAATAATTAAATGATTATTTTAGCTCTTTTTTTTTTTTTTTTTTTTTTTTTGAGGTTTTTGAGGTTCAACTCAAGAATTTACGGTGATTAATAAGCTATGTTTTTATATCTAATAAGAGAACCTGGATAGAAATATGATATAAGCTTCAAATCCGTATCATGTTTTTAGCGAATTAATAGGCACGTGAAATTACTAAAAACCCTTAAGAAAAATCATAAACCTATATACAAAAATTAGAATCCTGTGCGATGCTTTCTGAAAAATCTCTGAAGGAGTGAATCCTTTTATCAATCCAAATAACTAACAGCTTCGACTTGGTAGTTGAAGAAGTTCTAAGCATTCTGTTAAAATTAGTAGTAGCCAGTATTCAACTAATTTTATTATAGAATTAGCATTGTTAATTCGAATTGATGTCTTTTACCTAGCGTAATAATACAGTGGCTTACAGTGTGATGACAAAATTATAACTAATATTGTTAAGGGGCATTTACTAAGAAATGCTCCTCCAAAAATAGGCGTATGCCGCTGTCAGCGGCGAGCACACGGTATTCTTTAGTAAAAGGCGAAAGAATAGTTCGCTATGTGCTCACCGCACGGCTCCGTAATTTCTACAATGTCAAACATTTCTTTATATAAGTAGGAGGTCACTGCTACATTACCTTCTTCTTCGGATGTGGGACAAAGTCTTCGAGTCTATTCTAGTCTTTGCTTATTTCTTAGCCCATTTCTTTTGCCACATTTGGGTCACTCGTTTGACAAATTAGTGGGCTAAACAAGGCCCGTGTTTAAATTAACAAGTAAACAAATGGCGGAAGCTGAAAAACTTTTCATTCTTTCTCTGGCTTGAAAGAAGCAAAAATTAAGAGTGAGAGTTTGTTCTTAGTGGATAATTTAATTAAGCCCAAGGCATTTATGGTAAAGCAATCAAATTCATTAATATTTGCGAAGATATGATTTTACAAATTTATCCATAAAAGCGTGAAACAAGATAAATGGATGACTACAAATAAAAGTTAATTCAATAAACACTCAAATAAATATAGATGAATAATAAGACAACATAAGAGTTAAATCACGTTAGTTTATATACAAAAGTTTACATATTCAATTTTTATATACAATATAGCTCTGTATTTATGTATATTTACGATGATATTATATGTATAAATTCTTTATATAATTAAACCAATATTATCTGCATATTTTCATTTTTTCCCACTTGCTTAAAAGATGGAGCTAATGCAAGTGTATATTTTGGGAGATATTGATACGAATACGTATTATATGTATAATAACTATGACCATATCATTTATGGTAAAAGCACTAATACAAAATATATGTATACTTTTTTTTTTTTTTTTTTTTTTTTGAGACATTTCCAATTGAATTAAATTATAATCTAATAGGTGTGAGTTAATGCGGGTATACTTTTAGACTTATTTCGCTCTTTCTTGTATACTCAATGATATGTAATTTGAAATTGTGACTATATATTTTAAAATAACTATAGAGATATTATATTGATCTCTCTCATTTGGAAAATGTAGGATTAGAATTGGTTTCCTTTCATTGATTCCTACTAAATTGCAATGATTTATCCTAAAGATTTCATTTTCAATTGAAATTTGGTTATTCACTATGTAAGAGGATCCCTGCCAAGCATCTATGGTGGAATGGTTAAAAAGTGTCCAACTCATAACTGGCAAACTCATAGGTTCAATTCATACTAGATTCATGCCAATGGGACCTTCCATTAAATTGGAATTGACTATGTATTAATGAAATCTCATCATCTATACATAATGAATTAGTGTGGTATATTCATATCATAAGATATGAATGCTAAGAGTTAGCATTCTTATTAAGACTCAAACTCACAGGGAAGAAAATAAATTTATGGATGGAATTATATATGAGGTTTAGTTCTTACTCAGACTCAAACTCATAGGGTAGAAAATAGATTTATGGGGAGAAAAATCAATATACTGTACTTCTAATGTCAAATCATGATCAATTAAGCCAAAAATAAAGTATTGGGTGGAACTTTTTTTTTTAATTTTTTTATGTTAAGGTAATAATTATGATAGTCATCAACTCCTCGAAAAGGGTAGAAGAATGAAACCATTCTAGGACATACAATGTGTATTAATAGACTTTTAATACAAATTAAAAAAGCTCCTTGAGGATTTAACGTTTTTTCGCATTTTTTAGCTTCCACCATCTCTACCTCATTCCTTATAACAATCATAAAATACAATAGAAATTGATGTTAATTAATAAAACAAATGATTTAATTGAGTTTATGTAAGAGGAAAATAGACGAGTTCAATCTTAACATAAGATAGTAAGAATTGTAACATCAAATATCATATTTGTATAGAGAATTTTCCGTACAAAGGATGTACAGTACAAACAACTAATCATAGGCGGATACATGTCACATGTGCTGATGTGATGCCCTTATGATCAGTTGATTCATGATTGTATGTCCGCTGGGCTATTCAAAATTTTATAAAAATATTTCATTTTCGTCCCTAAATGTTTGATTTTTACCTTTCGGCCCTCATTCGCCAACTTGACACTTTAACCTCCTAGATGCAACTTCCTAAATTCATTTTCTATACTCTGACCACCTTACTCTTTGAACATTGCACTTCAGAGCCCCGAGAAAAAATTTCTAGCTTCATCCTTGATTGTATATGCATGTATATCCATTGTAGGGAAATTTTTTTTTTTTTTTTTTCCATATTTGTAATATAAGACATGAGATGTGTTGAAAAACATTACTAGGATTAATTTGATTAATTCCTCTTAAGAAAAAATGATAGATATGATTGGGTACTTCATATATAGATCCATAATATTCATTAAAATACTATGTTAGTTTGTATTCATGATACCCAACTAGGAAATAAAATGATTCTAAAGAAACTAAGATTGAAAATTTACCTATAATGATAAAGAGAACAAGGAAAAGAAAGGCAGAGATTGAGAAATTTTTCATAATAATTTGGGAGATATTGATACAAGTGAGTTATGGTTATTAGAAGTGTTTACGTGAATATATAATAATCATGGATAAAGCATTTATGGTAAAAACCACTAATACAAAATTTATGTGGCTAAAGCATTAAAGGTAAAACCACTTATGTATATATATCAAATATAAATGGTTAAAGCATTTTAAGTACAAATTGATACGTTCTGTAGAGAGTTTTTTTTTTTTTTTGTTTGTTAATTTTTATTTTAATAATAAAATCATATCATATATCCTTATTTTTAACATTGACTATTAATCAAGGAGTCATATCCTACATCATTAACAAATCAAAGCTGTTGTGCCTAAAAAGTCACACTGATGTCAGCTCAACAAGTGCCTAAAAGATAAAGTGTACTAGCTGTCAAGCCCATACCGCCTCAAAGATATTTTATACAAACCCTATCTCATTTTAAGATAAGGACGAATAAGAGCTCTCCATGTGTTAAGGCAACTTGCAAAAGTACTAATTACATTAACCTCAAAGGTGTATAAATTGACACCTCTCTTCGTAAAAGGGGGGCTGGACAGATGAGAGCTAGGCAAACATTTGAGCTTCATTATTTCTCTCTGTAAATAAAGTATTTCTCCATCTTTATATGCCTTACGGGTAATATCATAGAGATAGTCAGAGAATAATAAAAGAACAATGGATGTAGGATTCGCTTTAAATATCTGAACCACTATAAAAAATTTTGTTCTCTATATATTATTTATGTTTCTGCAAACATATATAATCTCAACACCATATTCAAATCTCATGAATCTATCACGTGTAATTTCTAAGACTCTTTTAGCACTTTGCACATGTGAGTCGTTGGTGTCAAAATCAAGCATTAACAGTTTGGTGGCCCATGCAGAACTCGAACCTGCGTCCAAACTCACCCGATCGCGTGGCCAGATCGCAGATCGCACGCATCAGAGCTCTCAGATGGCGTGGTCAAATCGCAAATCGCACGCACCAAAGCTCTCAAATTGCGTGTCCAAATCGCAGATTGCACATATCATAGCTCTCAAATGGCGTGATTAGATCTCACGCATCGAGCTCTTAGATGGCATGATCAGATCGCATGCATCAAAGCTCTCAAATCAGATGTCCAGATTGTAGATCGTACGCTCAGATCGCGTGTTCAAGATCGATGAGATCACGCGCTCAAATTGCAGATCGCACATATCAGAGCTTCAGATGGCGTTGTCAGATCGTAGATCGCACACATCAGAGCTCTTAGATGGCGTGGTCAGATCACAGATCTCACATATTAGAGCTCTCAGATGGCGTGAGCAGATCGTAGATAGCACGCATCAAAGCTCTCAGATGGCGTGGTCAGATCACAGATCACACGCATCAGAACTCTCAAATCGCATGTCCAGATCGCAGATCGCATGCTCAGATTTCGCGTTCAAGATCGCTGAGATCACGCGCTTAGATTGATCAGATCTCTAGCTCTCAGCTGACTTGATTAGATCACACGCATCAGAGCTCTCGGGTCGTGTGGCCAGATCGTAGATCGCACACCCAGATCATCCAGATCGCGCATTTAAGATCGTTGAGATCACATGTTCAAATGATTTAGATCGTGCTTCTGAGCACTTAGATCACTGATCTCGAGTTCTCAGATCAAGCTTTGCACATTCTAATTGAACAATTCTTCTGTTCTCAGATTAAGCTTCGTGCTTTCTGATTGAACTCCTTATGTTCTCAAATCAAGCTTCGTGCTTTCTGATCGAACTTCTCATGATCTCAGATTGAGCTTTTTATGCTTTCGGATCAAGCTTGTTATGATCTTAGATCAAGCTCTTTATGCTCTCAGATCGAGCTCCTCATGATCTCAGATCGAGCTCCTCATGATCTCAGATCAAGCTCTTTATGATCTCAGATCGAACTCCTTATGCTCTCAAATTGGGCTCCTTATGCTCTCTGATATGATAATTGAGAACTAATCTTGGGCCTATAATGGGCTTTAGAGTTTATTGGACATTTAATGGGAGTGCCCAATAAATTAATATCAATTGGCTAGGTCCCTTTTACAAATACGATTGTACACTGAACCCTATTTGGAAGTCGTCATTTTGGAGTGTTTCCAGAAATGAAGACCAATCACTACTTGCAGGGAATTCAAGAAATTCAGAAGCTATGATAGAATCAGGTTTTTCTAAGCCTTAATCTTTAAATTTAGTATTCTATAATCAATATGCAGATCTTGGGATTAATTGTTAGAATTGAGTGAAATTCATGTTAAAAATCCTACAATAAGAGTTTATTAATATCAATTTGAATATATATAATCAACTCAATAATTACACTTTCCCAAAATGTGTAGGTTTTATTCAAAGGACAAATCTAGCTATAAAATCCAGTAACTTATTAATTATACCTTTAATGAAATAATAAATGATATATTTCTAATTCATAATGCTAGATTATACATGACTCGATAGTCTAGCATTTAACAATATGGTTTGACAATCTAATTAAATTATGCTAGACAATGCTAATGGTACTAGACTTGGTAGTCTAGCATATTCCAACTATTTTTACCCTTGTTATCTCAATTAGGTTA